TTAGGAAAGGCTGCCTATTGGTGCGCTTTCGCAAGCAGCGCGCTCAATCCCTACATTTACGGCTTCCGTAACCCGCAGTTCAGAAAGGAATTCCAGTTTCTACTTTGTTTGTTCTGCCCGTGCATTAGGACCGGTTTGCGCACGCGGGGATGTAGCACTACAACGGTAAGCAGGGGCTCATGGGAAGGATATGCCGGCTTTGAATACAATCACCTCAAACGTACCAGTTTGTCGTGCCCCAGCCCTAAAGCGAGGCTCTCTGTAGACTTTGCTCAGTTTCCTCCAAATGGAGCCGCTAAGTTTGAGATGCTCGCCCTCAAAACTAAACTTTCCAACTGTTCGTCTGATCCGGGGTATCGCAGTCAAGAAGACAACCAGGGCTTTGATGAGGAGACTGGACCGAGTGAGGAGGACGGAGCTGTTGGTGATAGCAACAACAATAACAGCTCATTTGGTGATGAAAGTCAAAACAATTTCATCAGAATCCTCGGTGATGAAGCAAGCGTCCAAAATTCCAGTTACGGCCCAGAAGTACCAATCCTAGGCGCATATTCAAATCAAGTAAGAGTTCTTGAAAGGAATGCTGAGGAATTTACGGAAAACCTGTTTCATGACCATGAAAATGAGATAGAAACCTCACGATCTGAGACTCAAACCGAGTCTCCTGACAACACCCAGCCAGGAAGGGAAATGCCTATGAATTACAGTTCCACAGAGGAGTTATTGACTCCCACGAGGCTTAGAGGATGGAGTCTGAGAACTCTTGGAGCCAGGCTTAAACTCGGTTGGGTTGAAAGCACACTCTAATACCTTAAACTTTATCAGTCTTAATCAAGTCTGCTCTCCAGTAAAAATATGTTTATGCTATCATATTGAAGCAACAAAAAACTGGCTAAGATAGGCTCTTAGCCAGTTTAGTTTTTACATCGATCTCAAAACTTAAACCAAGCAATGAACAAGATAAGTCCAGTGCCATAAACTCGGTCGCCAGGTCATAAAACGATCGTAAGGATAAATATGTATGCCCCCTATGTTAAGATCTTGGATTCCATGCTAGGAGGTGAAAAAGACCTGCATAGCTGTTCAAAGATGCATGTTTAGTTCTGTTTAATCTTAATTTTGGAGTATGTTTTACTCTTCAAAGTTTATGGAGCCACAAGGTGGCAAAAAGGATCGGTTTGTTTAAAAATATTTGTCAAAATAAATTTATTTTTATCTCAGTAAGGAAATGGACGATGGAAACGAACAATGAAAAAACAACATATAGCAAAGTAACAAATGTTTTACGTTGGACGTTAGGTAAATATTTTTAGCGTATATTCCATAACATAACGTTCATGAGCGTTGAAAAAACGTTCATCGTCTGGGAAGAGAAAAATAGTTATGCTCCCATATTGAAATTATGCATGATATCTTTGTAACTTCTTGACAAAAATAGAGTCAAAATACTTTTCAAACACTTTCAAATACTTTTTAAAGACATCTTACGGTATGACTCGTGCCATCATAAGTTTGCTGTGTTGTATCCGTTTACTTTATTATTACACGTCACAGGAACAGTTCATTACCCTTACAATAATTTAAGTGGTCTCTATACAACGCATCCTCTACTTAAGGTTATTAGCGGTTTGGACTGAGTGTAGAACTTAAGAGCACTCAGCCGAATATTTGGGCTTACCACACCCCAGATAGTTTTGAGTAAAGCGAGTGAGCCTGGTGACGGAAATGCGCGCCTGCATCACCTTGCGCTGTACAACATGGCGGCAAATTTGGCGATTAAAATAACATATCCCAAGAAGACCATAAAAAGCAGCTGACAAATGCAACATGAGTGCTTTACGGCTGTTGGCGAGACGTTTTAACTACTCGGTAAGTTTTTCTTCTTGTTTAGAATTACATTCGATAAACTTGACTGTTTTTGCATTGAAATAGTATTTCTGGTATCTTCAACAGACATTGAGACCCGCGAGAGTTCTTTTTCATCCAAACGTTGCCACTACACCTTCATTTTACACTCTTCAAGACAAGAGGCATAGTAGCAATGAAGCACCGTCGTATTTTTTCTTGTTTTCTCCCGATCTTCCTCCTGTGTATGCACTTCAAGTATTCCTGGAGACAGTCCATACTTGGACTCATCTTCCATGGTTCGTGATAAAATATGTTAACCATATTACCTAGTCAGGCTGTAAAGAGCTAATTTACTTCATGCTTGTCAGCTCTGTCTTTGAATAAATTAGAATTTTTTGTCTACTAATTCTGGGGTTATTTTTATTACTTTTTATTATTATTATTATTATCGTACAATTTGATTCAGCCTATTTAAACTGCACTTGTACAGTCAGACAACTGCAATAGATGAAAGCACTGTCGAAATTAATTCTGGATTGTGTTGCTTTTTATTCACTCTACTCTCTAATTGGCCAACTTATTGCGTTCTTTGCGAAAACATTGACATGAACCACACTAGTAATTCTTGTCTACGGTAGTTATTACTTGTCAATCAGAAATTTGTAATTCTTAATTTTTTAAGGTGGGCAGTGATTGTTGGCTCTACAGTTGCTTTGAGAAGTATAGTCACAGTTCCATTGGCAATTTATCAGAATAAACTTCTTGCTGAAATTGAAATGCGTCAACCAACAATTAGTATGATGACTGAAGCTCTTAAGCATAGGGTAGTTGGAGAGTGTCGCAGATCAAATCAACCTCCTGAAGAAGCAGAGAGACAATATTTGAGAAAAGTAGGGATCCTTTCCTTTTTTGGATATTTGTGGATATTAGTTTATTAGTTTAATCTCTGTCCATAGCTGTTGAATCTCACAAACATTTTTTTAAGGTACTTGCCTGTTCAGTGCACATCTGGGAAAAAATTTCAGCAACAACTTTGATTAATGTCATTAAAATACTTTTACTTGAGCAATTTGACAGTGCATCATGACAAAAATTTTACCATCAAAAAAACCTTTGAGAGATTTGATAGCTATTCAACAAAGAATTGTTGAAAATCTCTTTTCACTTGGGAAAAATTCTGCTCTCCCCAAAATTTGAAAAATTTTCACCATGAACTCATCACTTTTTCAAGCTTTCATTCAAGCTCAATTCAGAATATTTTATCACTAGTCTTCTTGGGTCAGTAAAAGGTTTTGAAGGAGGGTGATATTTAGTTTCCTCACAGCATTATTGCATGACATTGCAAAGAATGAAATGTGTAGAAAATTAAGTGCATATTACATGAGTATACCTGTACCAAAACAGGGGATTGTGAGAGGGTGGGCTTCTACTAAAAGTCAGTCATCAACCAATCAGGTTTTCTAGCCTCTTTCCCGGATTACTGAGTTTCAATGTCAAGATGCACCCTTGATTTATCTTATCCAGAAAAAGCAATGTTGATGCTAACCTTACATCAAATATGGCTTTTGTATTCCTCTACAAGAGCTTATGCCATGATCACCTGGTTTATATGAATGGGTATGTATATAAAGTTTTTGCAGATGTAATGTTACTTAATATAAATAACACATGATGAATAAAGTTTTTTGTATTGAAACAATCTTTCAGAGTAGAAAGATGATTTCTGAGTACTACAAGTCTGAAGGACTCAGTCCATTGAGGCTCTCAATATTGCCATGGACTCAGCTTCCACTGTGGTTCTTTCTCTCCTTGTCACTTAGAAACCTGGCTGGTTTCTTTCCTTGGCAAAGGAATGCAGGTATAGCTAATAAGCAAATTTTCATTAATGCACTGATCAATTTGATGCTTCAACGTCCCCTTCCTTGTAGATCACAATGTGTTTTATCTTTTAAAATGGAGGTGTTTAAGATAAAGAGCTAACATTCACACACAGATTTTTGCAACAAAGTGTGATGAAACTTTTTATTCTGTGAGCTTTAACATGCTTTTCACCTGCTGTTGCTATTCCCCTCAGTGTTGGAAAACTTGAGAGGTGGATATTAACTTTGCTGGTACATTCATTTTTATTAATCCACTAATAGTTAAATGTGATCATAACTGTTACACTAACATGGGTAATTTTCTTTCATTTTAATTCTGTTTCTCAATTTAACTACAAAATCCAAGTTAAAAATGTTCCTTTAAAAAACTTGTTATGAAAAGTGAATAAAATATGGTATGTTGGAATCTAGCTTGTACATGTCACACAACATATTAGTCAAAATAAGGTTTGAGAACATTGCATGATCATTGATGTGAAAGTTATAGCTAATTAGTAAAAAAGTAAAATGGGATTTCTTAGTAGTTTCACTGTAAGGATGAAGTTGTCTGGGTATGTAATTCAAAACTGTTCAGAAATCATGAAGTGGTTATCTTGAAAATGAATGTGTTAGTTTTATTATAGAAACTACCTCATCATTTCAGAAAAATTACATGTACTGCTAAAATATCTTAAAGGAGGGGAAAGGGGTAATAAGAAATAAATTGAAAAGACCTGCTAGGAGTATTGGGCAGCATCTCAGGCTGAAACATTTTGTGACTTTGTATATTTTACTTAAGATCCTTATTCTTTTAAATTATGCATTTGTTTGATTATTTGTGTGAAAATTGCATCAAAATTAATACTGTCTCATGAAATTGGTATGAAATAAATATTTTTATAAACCATTACTTAACTGTTACACTGCAGATTTTCACATGTAGACTCTTACATTCAATTTTTGACCAATGTTATCTCTTTTTCTTTCAATCCTGCAACTATGATGCCAGTTTGACAATGTCATATTATCTTCCATTGGTCTGAATAAGTTTGATTCCCTGTGGTTCTCTCCAGTTTTCTTGCCAATTTTTTTTAATATCTGTTTTTCCTGCTCTATTTTTTTCATGACTGTTTAACCTATGGCCTGAATTTGTCTTCCATGTTTATTGCTCAAATAATGTATTACCTTATCTGTCTCTCTTCACAAGTGGCCTGTACAATAATGCCTTTTTTTCCTTTTTTGACAAGATTTAAAGCTGACACCTCATCTTGTAAAATGTCTCCAAATGCCCTCTTTGTTTTATTTATCTTCTATGTTTATCCTCATGATTTACTCTTTCACACCTTTCTTGTCTCTAGAAAATGAGAGCTTACATGTCATTGTTGAAAATGTTTGAACAAGCATGTTTTACCCAGAATTAATTTTGTTGTTGCAGTATATTTAAAAAGAGCATTCATTTGCTCATTCTTCCAAGTGTTGCCTTGTTCTTACTTTGTTCTTCTAATTTGGCTTCTTCATGTACTTATCTTTTGCACATCTCAATATTTCTTGAATCTCATCTTCACTGAATTCTTGCACCTTTATTTTGTTGATGATTTCAGTCAAGGCTCCATTCTTCTTCAACTCAGCAATGGCATCCTCTTTGCTTGTACCCTCCAATGGTAATTTTTCTGAAAGAAGCCCACCAGGTTTAGCTGCCAGCATCTTGCTTGGTGAAGCATTCTGCTTCATCAGTAAAGCCTTGCTGTTGAACTTATCAGCATGTGTGAAGCTTTTTGAGCGTGTCATTCCATACTCGTTTTTCTTCACAACAGGCGGCTCTTTGGTGCTTGCTTTTTCCTTTTCACAATTTTCAACTTTGGTATCTTGAAATCCCATAGCTTGTTTCAACTTCTTTATGTCATCAGAGAACTCAAACATTTTAAACTCTAGTTGAGCAACTTCCTCACTTAGATACTGAAACTTTGTGCTGAGCTCCTCAATCTTTAAAGGTTTGTCAGCTTCTCCGGTTTTCTTGTTGTCTTGTGATTCTTTTGACGTCAGAGCTGTTATTGGTTTCTTTGCATTATTTCCTGCTCCGAGGAGCACTGTTTCATCTGCTGAGCTCTCACTAGATTCAGAGGAGGTGTATTCAGGGATTTCTGCTAGTTTGGCACGTGAAGGTTTCTCTTTCTTCATCAAAGCTCCTTTCCTAGAATCATCTTTTACATCACCATCCTTCTTCAGTCCTTGCAATTCATGATCATTTTTTGTTGATGTAAACTTCTGTGAAATAAGAAAATGCCCATTTGAAAATGAAGCAGTTTTTCCTTCCTTGGAGTCCTCTGATGATACTTTTGTTGGCAACAGCTTGTCACCAACTTCTTTATTATCCTTGTAACCACTTGTAGCAGCTTTATTAATTCCTTTGCTGTCTGGACTCTCTGCTGATTCAAAGAAACTCACAGGTACTGTGCTAGCAGCTCGCTTTCTTGGACTTTTGATGTACTCATACTTAGCAAGTGTGTCTATGGTAATGGTTTCAAAAGTGTACTTTCCACTCTTGTCTTCTCCTTCACCTTTTTCTTCTTTGCTTTTTCTGGAACTTCTTTCATCGCAGCTAAAATTGACTTTGGGGATATCATGTTTAGGAGATGATGTTAGCTGAGACCTTGCATCTTTCCCATTGGAGGGCTTTCTGCTGAGATTAGTGGCACTTGATTTTCGTGGGCTGGACAGCTTTTCTGCAAGTAGCTCAGTGTAAAGCCTTTTGGTCTTGTCATCTGTTTCCCACCATTTGTAAGTGGGAAAGCTGGGAGCTGCAGCCATAACCAGTTCAAGAAATCTAGGAATCTACAAATTAATGGACAAAATGTTAAATTAGACTGAAATTAAGGGCTAATTATGAGCCACTAGCACTATAGGAGAAGTATTGTTGTATTTGATGTATTGGCCAGTTACATATTAAATAAGCTTATTCCTGTTTGCCTCAAACAGAACTCTAGGTATTTGAAAAGTGCCTTCAGGATTTGTTATCTTGAAATTGTGACTTAATCATTTACATTTATTAAGTATGCACCACACAGGTGAACAGAGGTTTTTCACAAGAGCTGATTGCTTGGTTCTGAAATGATTAACAAGTACTATTTGCCTCCAAGCCACTGAAGAGATGAAATTGCTCAATCCCATCAAGAGTTGAATTTCTGACCCATTTGTTTGGTATATTGACCAAAGTAAACTAATCCTTTGGTTTCTGTGTGGTATAATCTAAAATGATTATTCGCTTAATCAATATCAGTGAAAGTGGTGGACATTTGCCTTGCTGTTTTGCTGTTCAGTAAATATCCACTACTAATCACATCTGCTTTTAGTGAATAATTGTTGAGCCAGTTGTGTGGTTGTTTTATTACACTTCACAGTTTATTCATTTCACTTCAGGTGAAGTAATCCTTCCTTGCCCAGACATCGCACATGAGGGAGCCCTTTGGTTTCCAGATCTCACTGCAGCAGACCCAACCCTGATTATACCTTGTGCTGTTGGTATTTTTAATCTTGCCAATATTGAAGTGAGTAATTTGAGTCACATACAATATGATAATGCTTGATTAAAAATATTCACATTTATTGCTCAAGAGTTCTTTTCATGATTTAGTTATTGATGTTGAATGTAAACCATACTGATTAAAAAGAATCATTTGATGGCTTATAAGTAAATTATTGGCAAATGGTTTTTGAAAATTGATAAAAATTTTATTCAAGCCAATACCCCAAAATGCCAAATATTAAGAAAGTGCTGAAAGTCTCTTATTCGAGTCTTGTTGATAAAATTTAAAAAGTTTCATCAATTTTACATTTAGAATGTGTTGACTGCACAATTACATATTATACAATCGGGCACATTGTAGTACACTTTTCTCAGCTTCATCTGTTGATAGCTTTTTAAATAAAGCTATAGATTTTGGGGTTTCTTTGGGAGTGGAGTGTTAATCATACTGCTCTGATCCTGGATTCTATGATCAAAATTAATTTAAAATAAATTATTTTAATGCTATCTGAGAGTGGCACACAAGACTGTCAGTGATAGAGTTCACAGCATAAATTTGTTATATTTTCATCCCATGGAAAGCCTTTTATGAAGTATTTTGACTATACTTCAGTTCTTGTATGTTGTCTGTTTTTCCCTCGCATCAGAGAGGGAAATCTTTATCCTAATTCACAAATTACCCTTGCAAATTGACAAAAACTTCTTGTTTGACTTACCTAGGATCAGAAATCTTTCTTCACTCTACTCTGATGCCACTCCATCTACAGCCTTTCTCATCACAGAGTCAAACGTACTGTATAAATGTTTTGTTGTATAAGCACCCTGCCTTTTTATAGGCGTGGTACAGCACTCAGGGTGTGGACTTCCAGCCCTGCTCATTGTTTACTTCATTTCATAGTTGAACCAAGATTTTACTGTTTACATCTGCTTCATGGCTTGACATTTTGGGTGGAGTTTGGGTGTGGTAGTTTTGAAAAGGAAAGTTTGACTTTTAGGCTTTTAAAGAAGCAAAAACAAGTTTCCAAAACTATCAGAGCTGTCTATGTATTCAGTGCTCTTCAAATTTGAGGCAAATAAGCTTAGAATGTGAAGGAGAGTGAAGTTTACAATGATATATTTTGTGTTTAAGTAGAATGGTTAATTGGATGTTACCAAAATAAAACTGACAAGATAACAGGTGATAGTTGGCCACCTGTTGATCAGGTGATTTTTTATGTTGGTGACAGACTCTGAAAACTCAGTTTTTGTTAGAACAAATTTAAGCACAATCAACTTGTTGAGAAAGCTAATGTGGCAAAATGAAATCCTTAATTGAACTGGGTTGCATCAAACACATGATCAATCCCTTACCTTAATATTTTTTTTTTGAGGGCTAGATTTTAAGAATTGTGCAGCTTATCCCTTGTTAGTACTTTTTCTGTTTGGTCTGCTTTGTAGCACAATTGAATTTCATGAAAGTCAGTAGTGTCCTATGGACAGATATTCAAATACTAAATCATTTCAACAAATCCTAGAGTATGCAATAACATGGGTGCATCAGGAATCAACTATTCTGTTTTACAGTGCATGATTGCAAATGATTTAAGTTGCATCCATAAGCTCAAGAAATGAGAAACACATTTGACAATACAGTCATGAAATTTTGGCTTTCTGGATGTTATTTTTTTGTAGAGATAATCAGTAAAATTTTTTTATAGTGTTAGTTCAATATTTTGTAAATGAATGGACTTTGATCATGGAATAAATATGTAGTTTTAAAATTCATGTATCTACAATGTTATCAGAGCCACATTGCTTTCAAAAAATTGGATTTCTGTTTTCCTTTTTTTAATTTCAGTGAGGTAGGCAATTAGATTAGCTGGTGAATTAAAATGTTGTAAGGTGAATCAATAGAAATAATTAATTTTCACTTAACTTTTATAATGCAAATTTAAATTAATGATAATTACATCAACTGATTTAATTACGATTCTTATGATAAGGTATTATAAATTTTTATTGCTTTGGTTGACCAATATGGCCTTTGGAGGTCACGTGTAAATTCTCTATTGTTGTTAATAGTTTGTTTTCTTTAACTGAGGGCAGCTGTATATAATGTTTATAACCCTTATGTTGAGTTTTGTTCTCTGATCACCAGCTTCATGCCCTGCGCCGACACAACACAACCAGATTTCAGCGGATTCTAACAAATACATTAAGGCTGGTATCTGTGGGTATGATCTTTGTTGCAGCTCAAGTTCCTTCAGTAAGTTTCCTGTCATAAAGTTGTTTAGTTTCTGAAAATGTCCATTTGGTGAAACAAAACCCCTCTGATAGGTAGGACCTTTTCTACTTCCCCAGCTGAGTCTCTTGCACGTGACCAAAGTGATCAACAAATAACAATAGTCACTGAAAATAACCAAGTCACTAACCAAAACCCAGTCCCCCATTTAATGTGTGAGAACCTTCTCTTTTGTCACTTTTAGGAGCTCAGCTGGTCAGAAAACCATGTCTCTGTGCTGGTTCATATTTTATGGTAATTTTTTTTTGCAGGCAATGTGTCTCTACTGGGCAGTTTCTGCTTTCTTTGGCTTGGCTCAGAATATAACCTTTAAATTCCCTGCTGTTCGCCGTCTGCTTGGTATTCCAAAGACTCCCAATGAGAGTCAACATCCAGTGCAAGACTTAAAGAATCTGCTGCAACTTAAGGGAGAAGAGTTTGTAAGAATTCAAAGAGAAGGACGATCAGTAAAAAAGAAGGAATGATCAGGAAATTACACGTCACTGGTAAGACATAATTATGTCCATTTTGGCCTCTCAACACTCATTGAAATATACATTAGTTTTAAGTTGATTTGAGACATGACAGTGACAGGATCAAATTGCCTGCTTGTATCTTATACATGTATGGCCAATCTGTGAAGGGTTTTAATTATGCTTATGAAAATTTCTTTAATTTCTGTTTAACACTGTTCCATAGGTGGTTTTTTTTTCCAAGAAAATGTTTTCAAAAAATTATCCTCCTCATTTTTGATCTTCATCTGACCCAAAGCAACGTAACTATTTCATGTCTTTTAAACAATATTTAAGACCATATACACAATGTTTCTCATTAAAATTTTATTTGAAATAATTATTTAACACCTAAATCTGAAAACAGATACACTGCCCTTTGTAGATCATAATTCCTCATTTCTTTCCAACTCTTCCATTTCTTTTTTAGTTATTGTCCTTCCATTGCAAAGACAAGCATTACGCTGGGCTTCTTTATATGATGCACATCCTAAGGCAAGTGTTCCTGAGTACATTAGATCTGCTGATGTCTGGCATGCATCCAACTGCTTCTTTGGTAGTCTATTTCCCAGACCTGTGAGAAGGCACTCATTGTCTAAACAGGATTTAAAGTCATCATCGCACTGAGTGCGGTCATTGTTGCAGGTGTCGTAGCAGATGTCATGGAGATCACAGCATCTTGTAAAACCAGCAAAATTGGAAGTGTCAAGCTGAAAACATATGAGGAAATCTTAGTAGGGTCATTAAGAGAATGGTGCTCACAGGGAGATAAAGATCATGGTTGTTCCTATAACTATAAACATTAATGTCACTAATATAATAGTGGGAAAACTGCAAAAAGATCTTTTTTTCAGTTTAGTTAATAAAAGAAAATGCTCAAGAAAAGACTATAATTATTCTCCATTTATTGTGACTGTCTTATTCTTCATCGAGACATTGTGTGTTTCAATGTTCTCTCTACCCAGCAGTATAGATAATCTTGTGTGTATCAGTCTCATGAATGCATTGCTCCCAGTGTACTGTATGGTTCTTACCATGGCAAACTTCTGCTCAGAGGTTCTGAATCCATAATTTCCTTTTCCAGTGACTACCCTTAGACTACAAGTTATCATTTTTATTTTTGTTAAAACTATACCTTTATTCCCATGGAACCACATCCATCACTTGAGGGTTTATGCTTTGGATTAGTAAGAGGCTTATAACCTGAAATGAGAACACAATGGAGAACCATCTAATACTTTGTTTCTTGAATACATTGGAGCCAAAATTGTGTTATCCCAAGGTTAATAAATATTTTCAAGATATCATGCAGTCTGGATGGGAAAGAAGTGGGGGTAAAGTTCTAAAGAATCTGTGGTGCTACACTGTTGGGGGGGGGGGGATTTCTCTGACAAAGGGTTACTGCTGCTTAATCAGCTTTAGAAATGCTTTACTGTGGACAATTTACATTATCAACTCAGTTGATAAAACCAAAATAGATTGTATTAGAAAGATTTTACTTTCAATGATAAAAGCAAGAAACTACTTGAAAGCTCTTACTCTTTAATCACACCCCAATCACTCCCCTTTTTCCTCAATTAAAAAAAAACCTGCTTAAAATTGAATATGATCAGTTATTGAGGTCTGGTTGAGGCACACTGCACAACCACAGATGTGGAAACAAATAATTTAATACCATCTTAGGAGTCTGTGTCTGTAATTATGCGTTTGTCAGTTGAACAGCTTTACATGTAGGATTTTCCAACAGCGGATATGTATGTAATGAGAGGAAAAGAAAGTAATGAAGGGAAGACTGTTTGATTTTACATCAGAACTACGATTATTAGAAACTATGGCAGATATTAGGGAAGAAATGATATGGGGACCTTTAGAGTCAAAACTGGATAATTACCTTATTAATTTTGATATTACTGGTAAACACAGACTAGCAGGTGAATAAATAATATCAAATGAACCAATCAAAACGTACCATGTCAGCTACTTAAAATACAGTCAAAGAAGCCAACAGTTGCAAGTATAACGTTACATTCTCACGGACAAATTTGTTTATATAGTACTTTTATAAAGCATTTTAATTCGTATGAGAGAATAACTACAGCAATACATAAAACTAGAGTTATGTTTTACACCCTCGATATATTTTCTTCTTCATCGATCATTTCCGGTAGATTTAGATCTCGTTTTCTTCAGCTTCAAGCCTATTGCACGTGAGAGTGTACTTCTGAAATACCAACACAAGGTCTAAAAGGCGAAATTAGTTTTTCTTGGGGTGGATAAGTCTGAGATTAAGAGCGAAAATGTGCTCTTTTTCTTTTGATGAAGAAAGGGTGATACACTTGAGATAAAGTTTACCCTTAACTGTTCCGTTAAATTTTACTACAACCAAGAACACGCTTACCTTTCGGACATCGAAATGCACAATTTTCTCCACCGGCCAACTGCGCCAAAATTTTTGCTAAATCTCCTAGATTGCTGGCTTGTGAAGCTACTACTAACCCTTTCAATAAGTAACCAATAAACAGTAAGGAACAGATTTTCCAGTGAACCATAATTTTTCGATCCTTTTAACACAACTCCTCCAGAATTATGATTAAACTACCTCACCGGCCACTTCTGATGAATACCACGATGTTCTACCGACCTCGGGGGAGGTGGGTAGGGATCACTTTGTCGATGTCTTATTGATCGCAGGCGCATTTTTATCCAAATATATATCGAATGTCATTGTTTATCTGTTTTAATACATTTTAGTAATTTATTGATGTGTTTTGTCCTCATCGAAAATTCCACTTTTATTTGCTCTCAGTTCGAATTTTCACTTAGTCGGAAGCAAAATCTATATACCGTACAGAAACTAGAAAACATCCATAAATTAAGACATACGAGTTATATAAAAAAATATAAACAAACGAGGAATGGTTACATTCCAGATAATTTTCCCTGAAATTGCATTTTCCTTCAACATGAATATGGGAATAGTACACTTTAAGTTGTTTTTGAAACGAGATATGAGGGGTATTCCCTGGGTTAACCTTGAAGATGATGCAACGGAATTTGTCGCCTTCTTATTGGTTGTCGTATGTTGTTCACGACGTTTGCACGGTGTTGCACCATAACAGTTAAAATTTGCGGAGCTCAGGAATTTTACCGGTACAAAAGAGGGAGGTTTAAGCTTAGTGGGTATTCTATAATTTACAATGATGAAAACTCGATGAGAGGAGCCGAAGTTTCGATTTTAATTCGAGTTTATTTCGCTAAGTATTTTCTCTGCGATCGCAGGCAAAATGTGTGGGAAGTTGGCAAAAGACTTCCATAAGCTCATGAAGAGCATTGCCAGCTTTTCGAACCATCAGGCAAATGTTGCCCATTACGAGGAAAACTTGGATGCAATCAGGGTGAAAATTGTACCGAACGATGGTCTTTATTACGGAGGCAGGTTCGAATTCGAAATCAAAGCCAACGATTATCCAAAGAATGCTCCAAATGTCACCTGCATCACACAAATTTATCACCCAAACATTGACGATCAGGGGGAAATATGCTTAAATCTGTTCAGTGAGTGGGCAGAAACCAATACTCTGGAGGACTGCGTTCACGGATTGCTGTTTTTACTGTACAATCCAAATCTAGAGGACCCATTAAATCCTCTCTTCGATCCAGAAGTCGACACTGATTTTGAAGTGTTCGCTAAGAACGTGCGGTTGTCTCTAGAAGGAGGTGCTATCGAGGGGTGCGACTTCGAGAGAAATCTGGTGCACGAGGATAGCAGCACTGACGAGAATACTACCGGTGATCAAGTTCAGGAAGACCTGCAAGCCACGGAATGTAAAGAAGCGGTTGAGAATGTTGATGATGATGGATTAATCGAGATCCAGGTGTTGGATGATGAAATCGATTCAAGCGAAGAGGTACCTTCTACAACGAACACCGGCGGCACAGATCACGCGACCGAATGTCATATTGATGCAAATGTAACCAGGACAACTGACTGTATTTCAGGGAAAATCAATTCACAAAGAACTGAAGAGGAACCTGTTGTTCTAGTTGAAATCGAAAGAAGGGCAAATCACCTTGAAGAACATGGATGAAAAAAAGAAACTTTCCAACTTTCATTATTTAGAGCATGTAAATGTTGTAGTGTGCGTATGTCTTGGAAATCGTATGAAGGGGATACACATCAATGATATGGCTACAGAAATTTCACCCAAGAATGTTTGAGATTTCGATAAGATTGCATCGGTGTTTCTAGAGCGACTTACGTGCTTCCATGAAGAGCTCTGCGCCGGAAAAAAAGTTATGCGAATTACCGGCTGTTCATTGAATGTGCAGCCAGTAATTTGGATAAGTAATTTAAGCCAAGGTTTGACGCCTCTCGGTGGCATGAGGTGTTAGCTGAACATTTCAGGACATGTGATAATCGCTACGAAAAAGTTACTAAAGCTCCCCTCATAGATATTCTGTAGAGTTTATAACTATATTTAACTATAATTACGTTAGCACTTTAGTACAGAACATTCATCTGCCGCTGAACCGTCGTGTTTTCCGAGGCAAACCATTCGTAATAAAAATAAAAACTGGTGGATAGTGCCCTTATGCGTGTTTTTCTTCTTGAAGATTAGAGAAAATTTCCAACTTAGTTTGATACCAAGATCTTAGATTATGCTCAGAGCTTGCTAATTGCTCAGGAAAGTATCAGGAAAGTATCCCTAGTGAACAGTTGAACACTTTTACAAGGGATGTAACCATTAGGTGAGACCTTAACACCTAATACTAGCCTAGTTGACAAGGTTAAGAAAGAGAAGCCCACGGAGTTTAAACACTTTTAGACGTTCCCGGACTGTTCTACCGTATTTAATAGACAGGCTATGATTTGCATGTGTCATTCTGTGCATAGTAATGCACTTAAACTGATGAATTGAGTACTTAGTTGGTCCTATTGGGCCCATGCATTACTGACGTGGTGTCCAGCTACAGTACCAATGGGTGGCTTTGTGGCCCAGTTGTTAGGAACATCAAACTGATCTCAGCGGAGAGAAATGTACCAGTTCAAGCCATTCAGATTGAATTTGATTACACGCCTTTATTCTGATTGTGGTTACAGCTTATCAAAAATATCACATATGGCAACATAAGTCAATGCTGGAATAGTATTTACTATTCTAGAATAATTTTTTGTTAAGTTATTAAGGATAATTCTAAAATACAGCTGAATGATACATGACATTTTGCTTGGATAGAAATTCCTGCCGACTAATGGGTCTTAGTAAAGTTCGATAACTATATAGAGAGCCAGACCAACATTGCAAAAACAATTTGGTTAGTTTTATTGATGATCAGTTCAGAAAACAATCAATTGTTACTCAGTCAGTCTGTTTATTCACATAATTCAATAAGAGCTGTCCTGAGGAAAGCCATGATGCAAACAAGGCACAATGCATACTTATTTCACTAGAAACTATACCACATTCTAACATCAGAAATTTCTTGTTTTCTTTTTCTCTTTTATGCAATGGGGTGGAGTTTAAATAAAGAAAGTCAAGATGAAACATTTTTAAAATTAAAGTACTCAATCCACAAAGAGGTTTGATGAGGGGGAGGGAGGGGGGGCTAGGGGTGGGGCAAGGTTCATTGCTCTGGTAATTGAGGTGAAAACTCCCCATACATTGAAATTGAACATATATCATTGAAAAAATCACTTGTGCCTACAAAGTAATTTAAGTTCAAGCTAGAAAACAGCAAGTTGAACCTTTTCAAACAACACTTTCATACCAAGGTTCATGCCCCTAGCAGTTGAAGTGAAACCTAACCATGCAGTAAAATTTAACATATATCATTGAAAAAAATCACTTGTGCCTACAAAGTAGTTAAAGTTCAAGCTAGAAAACAGCAAATCAAACCTTTTCAAACAACACTTTCATAAACAACCTCTGACATACAAAAATAGCTGCAAAAATAATTGGCAATAGAATTCAACTATATTTGTATTTTGCCAAAAACGTGTTGCAATGGGATGTACAACAACATAATATCTATTTTGAAAGAAACTTAATGGTTAAGCATGTTTCTTTCATTGACTTTTTATTTAAAAATAATAGCAAGACAATGGCTACCTAGTGAGAGTAAAATTTAAATAGTTTCGGTTCTGACAGCTACATCTCACTGGCTAGCAATCAAACCTTACTAATATACTGCTCAGAATTTGTTATCATATCAAAAAAAATCTCTGATTGTTTTCCAAAGGATTTCCATTGAAAAAATTAGGAATAGCCAACAAGAAGGTCATCATGACTAACACTGTGAGACAAGCATTTCTTTGCCTTTTAACCTTTTAACTCCCATGAGTGTTCAAGACAGAATTTCTCCTTACAAGATCAATACATTATCAAGCAGATAAGTAGTGAGAATAAAGAAAACTATCAATTTGGAGATAACTAGTTGATCCAATACTACATTCTCTGAATTAACATTATAAGAATTGTATGACCGACAGTGAGAAGAATTACAAGTTTGATCTGGGAGTTAAATGGTTAAAAAGTTTGTGGTGAGCTGGGAAAGGTCTGTGAGAGATATTGCACTAGAAGTACCAGATTCTTTGCTGGCTGTGGTCAAGGTCTCAACCTAATAATGAGTGCCTGCTGGTAGGCTAACTGAAGATGAGGTATTTACATATTATTCACTCAATTATTTACACCTCAACTAATAGATGAAAATAAAGGCATAACACATATCCAATGACAATTGAAATCTTGAAAACTTTTCAAGAGTTTCATCTTCTTTTGAGACACCTATTTGCTTTTTGGTGACCCCATCATAGGAACATTGCAAATATTTTATTGATATTCAATGCACATTGAAATCTTTGCCACTTTAGAAGCTAATTGGGGAATCCAAAAAAATAAGAAAAAAAAAAACTCCGTAATGCTTTTGTAAAATTCTCCTCATGAGACAAGTCTAAAATCACAGACTGAGAGTGAGCTAATTATGGAATAAACCATTTAGGAAACTACACTTTTTCATTCCCTTTTAGTAAAGGATTATCCTTTTTGGTGGCCATTAAGCCTTGGGGAATGGTCATTATCATGTTGATTAAAAGTGTAATATTGGAACCTTCAGCTATACCAGATAGAGGATAAAGAAAACAGTTGCACTGAGATTTACACTCATGCCTAGAATGCTGGGACAGATCCAGAGGTGGTTTAGGTGGTTTGGTAACACCCCCCAACACTGACCTGAAAAACATTGAAACACATGCCTATTCCTCAGTTTTTTTTCTGCAATTATCCCTTAAAACACTTCATAACTTTTTTAACACCTTCACCCTGGAATTCTCCACCTTTCAGTAGACATTTATCCAAATCCACCTTCACTAAATCCTGGATCCACCCTTGGAATGTAAGTATGAAAAGTGATCTCCAACAAATAATTTACATTTTTGTCCAGTAAATGTTGCATAGGCACACAAATAAACAAACTATATATTTTCCTTTTACTGAGATGTACAAAATGGTCCAATTCAATTACTTTAATTATATGAAAAAAAACTATTTATCAGTACTTATTTCAATGCCACCTGACATTCGATCATTTACAAAAACAAAACATAAAAAGATGAAGGAAAATCTTACAAAGATGAATTCATAAGAATACTAAATGTTTTGATACATGTTTTTTATGATTACAAAAAGAAACTGACTCTGCAGTCTGTTTCAAGAGCTTCTATAAACCAAGTTATACTTTCAGTGTAAAAAAGAGATAAATTTTTAAAATAAATCTATCTTGTAATCACAGTTTACAGATACAGCACTGTTGAATACTTTACTCCAAAATAACATGATAAAATTTTGCTGCCTTAGTTTTTTCACGTGGATCAGCTCTTCACAACCTTTTTTTTTTTTTTTTTGGTGAAATCAAGTTCCTTCAAAATAATTTTTATAAACAAAGTCACAACATTTAACATGACAAAATATATCTATTTCTTTTTCACATAGCCAAGTTTCCATGAAAACAAGCAATAACAAATGTAAAAAGCAAACCTTTTGGTGACCATAGGAATAACTACCAGACAAGCATGTTATTGTAGTCAATCAAGTCACCAAATTAGTAAATTATGCTGCCAAAATTTTCTCCTTTCCACTGGCCACCAAATGATCAAAAGTGAACAGTAAAGGACCTTTTGGAAACAGGGTACTAAATCCAACCAGTATCGCACAAAAACAATATTATTTCTATCCGTAAGAGATTCAGAGTTAGAATATATGTACAGGCATCCTGATGAAGTACTGTATCTACTCACATAACATGTAGTTTTGAATTGCTATATTTCAAACAATGTACAAGTACATTAAACTCACCTAATACTGCCAAAACAAAGTCATACTGGCCTATTTATTACAAAAATTATAATTTATGGTCCTAGAAATTTCCTCAGAACTACCAGATTTCTATTTTTTAAACATATTCAACTACAGAGCTCCTTTGGTCTTCTAAATCCCACTTCACCTCAGTGTCAGAGTCTGAAAAGTCATCCTCTGCATTTTCCTGACCAACAGTTTCTAGTGAATCCATAGAGCGACTTTTCGAGGTCTTTGATGATAACCCCCGTACATGTTTCCTAGGCAATGATGCACTTGATGCATTTGATGAAACTGATGCACTTGCTGCATTTGCTGCACTTTCTACACTTGCTACCCGCGTCATTGTGACTTCTGAAAATGTGACACGAATCTGCAATGGCAAAAGACTTTGAATTAATTGCTATTAACCATAAGCCTCCCATGTGCAGGTATCAAAGCTGAGGAAAAGACCAAGCAGCTGAGATAATCTATAAGCCAGCAGCTCATGCCACACCAAGACCTGGTAATGGTGCTTCAAAATTAATTATTTTCATTTGTTTGCTCTTCACCCCCTACAAAGCTATTGAGTAATTGTGAAATGGCTAAACAAGGAACAGAAACAGAAGCCAAGTGGCTGTGTTACACATCACCAAGTAAATTTTGTTCAACTCTTCTGCTTTCTTTTCTTTCTCCTATTTTGCAATTGAAATTTGTATTAGATTAAGAAATCATTTGTGTTTTGAAGAAATTAGCTAGAATTTCTAAATGTTGATTCTTAGATGACTGTGTGCCATTCAATATTCCACTCACCCTAAAATCTGACTTAAACATCTTCTCTTTGGCATCTTTGTGTGCTTTGTCAAGATTATCCTTTCCAATGTCAAAATAGCGTAGATTAGGATCAAGTTCAAACGTATGAAGAGTTGGCTCATCTTCCTGGATTTCCTCTGTCCAAGCAGCTTGACTTATGAAGAATGTGTTAAACCAAAACTGGAAAAGTCTCTCCTGATAGAAACAAATTCACATAAAAATCAAATGTTATGGTGCAGTCTTTGTATAGCATTGAAATTTCAATGAATATATAGTACATAACTTGTGCAAGCACACATATGTGGTTATAAATGATTAATGACATGAATGAGAGACCAGAGGCTATCATTATCAGGGTTTTAAAACAAGCCAGTGAATGCCAGAGTTCTGCTGCCTACTTGATGATTTATAAGTTGCCACTTACTCTGGTCAAAACAATTACCTTTTTGGCCCTAAATGACCTTTTCACTGTCACCTACTTTTGCAGAGTCTGATGCCTACTTCAAAATTTTAGAGCATGAATATTCAATATACCAAAATAAGCAGTAAGAAAAAAAGCATCATAACCATTTTTGTTGTGGTTCAGGTTTTGCTTTTCTTGTCTACAATTTTTCAAAAGGAGCTTGTCTGACTTAATTTCCATTTGTTTACAAGACAAAGAAAATTAAAAGATAAAACTGATTTGAAAAGTTTGAAATAAGAAAGGAATTTGAACCAAAACATCCTTGTACATAAACAAAATGTACAAGACCAATGACATTGGCAGCAAGGTTGCAATTTTTCTCTTGTGTGATTCTCTTAACAATGGCTACAATGTGTTCTGCCTATCATGAGAATATATTTGTACTTTATACATGAGGCCTTTAATTTAGTGACCAGAGTTCAGCAAAAAAGATGCAAACTTTAACAATTCTATTACTTAGCTAGTTTCAAGTTCCTAAGTTGAAGAGAGATAACCACTTCCTCAAATTTTTTTTGTTGTAATAATGCAAAAAAAAATTTACTTGAAACTAAAAGTTGCTTTGGGCAATATTTTATGATTAAACTGAATGTTGTCAAATGAGGACTTTAATTAAAACATAGGCATGCATAGCATGCAAGAATTATTGTTTTTTAGCTGGGTAGGTCAAAATCGTCACACAATGCCCTCTATTCCCCATTGAGGAGAGAGCCATTGCATGACAAGACCAAATAACAGTTGCAAGACTACACTCACAGCCATTCCTCTAACAGGAAGAAAATCAAAATTATTTCAAAAAGGTCGAGTTTGGAGAGAACTAAATGTACTGTCAACATCACTGACTTCATACAGGTGGTTTGTGGGCACAAGCTCAAGGCCCTTATTTATTTTGCAGGCTTCTCTTATCCAATTATTACACTGCTGTAGACAGGAATGGTGGCTGTTATTATGGTAAACTCTGTAAGCTGCATCTCACCTTTTTAAACATGTCTTTATGGAAGAATTCTATCTTGATGTCACCACAAATTGGAATTGGTTGACTCGGCTCAAACATAAATCCTTTGTCACATTTCCTTCCCTTTGAACCAAACATTGGAAGATGAATGATAATGAAGATGACTACCACACTTAGAAAGTAACAATGATAAACCAAAACACTGATTATGTAAATAGTATACAACTGATTGTGCAAATGTTGACACCTTAAAACTGAAAAAATGCACGCAATATGAGACCCAATGGATTTAAGGTTATTTTTTTTGTTTTCCCCTGAATAACTTAACCCCCTCACATGGATATCCTTTTCATGGCAATTTCTCTCTATCAAGAAAGCTTGCATGGTTTCCTTCATTCATTGCAAGCAACCACATGTAGTTGTACTTATCATGCAAAGTCTACACCATTAATTTGCCAGATACCAGTCCTTCCTTCGTAGAACTCAACATTTGTTCCAGATTTTCTAACTGTTGGCTCTTCCATTTTCTGGTGCAAAGAGATACAGTAAGACTAAACAGTCTTACCCAGGAACCCAATTTAAAGGCCCTATCAGGGATGGAACTCTGACCTCTCAAAAATCACATTCAAATATATTTCATGTACTACAATGCATATTTTCATCCCCTTGTTGTTCATAAGTATTAAAGCTGTAGGAATTAATTGAACACTGATAACACTCAAGGGAATCATACCTCAGTAACTTTAGACTGATAAAGGTTCACCTTCTGTTGCCAAATGATGTAATATGGATCTGAAAGCAGCACAAGACATTAAGTTTAAGGTTAGTTTGAGTCCTTAGAGAAAAGATCAGAGTCTAATCAATTTGTCTGAAGAGAAGAGAACTTCACAAGGATTTGTCCATAAGGGTACATCCACCAATAATATTTGCAATCTCTGTTTGAAAGCTGAATTTACATACCAAATTATCTTCACTAAAATGTTTACTGGTTTACCTAGTTCATGTAAATTAAGCAACCTTACAAACATTTCCCTCAGCAGTCAGGCATTTTGATACAGCCTTTTTAAAAATCCAGACCTCTCTCCATCCTCTCAACACTTAACCCTTTAACTCCCAGAAGTGATTAACATAAAACTTCTCCCAACAATATCCATACATTATTCAGCAAACAGGTAATGAGAATATCAAACTTAACAGGTAGAAGCTGCTATCTTGATCTAGCACCAAGTTCTCATAACTAATTTACAAGGAAATGTGTAGCAGCTAGAGGGGAGAATTAAAAATCAGATCTTGGGAGTTAAAGGGTTAACCTCTATTATAACATAGCTGGTAAATTTATGTAATCAAATTCAATTGCGCGAGCGTCCTTCATATTCCTATTGTGCACGCTCATGATGTCAGCAAACAAATCCCTTGAGAAAAAAAATTTTCCATCTGGTTGAACATGTTATTAAACAATTGGTTCATATGTCAGCTGTGTGTTCATCGAGATATGAAGCACTTGGAAGTTTGAAGAGCACTCAAAAAGCTAGAGTTGCTCTTGGCTACGCCTCAAGCAACTCTTACGCATCTTTCGTGCTCTCCAAACTTCCCACGTGCTTCAAATCTCGATGAACACACGCTGACGTATGCACCAATTGTTAATTAGTTTTCTTTTCACTTTCTCCAGGTCTTGACAATCATTTAACAAATATCCATTCCATTTGAAGAATTAAAAAATAATTATAATTAAAATCAAATCTGCTTCACACTCATACTGTGTACCTTGGTGACAAATGTCTACACATTGAACCCCCACAAAGGAAATTTCACTTCAGACAATATTTAAACTACTGCATGTTCATTTGTAAACTGTGCCTTCGTGGAGATTATCAAGCATGTACAGTGTTTAGACAGCACTCTAAAAGCTGAAGTGGCTCTTGGCTGCCCCTTAATAACAAATCTTGGGTGCTCTCCAACCTTTGCATGTGCTTCATATCTTGATTTACACACACATGTATGCACCAAGTCTCAAAAGTGCCCTGCCTAATGCCTCACCCACAATCCTGTTCCGTCAAAACACCTTAACATCACTTTGAAGGCAACTTACATTTATTTTTAATTATTAACATTCCAATTAGCCATAGATCACTTACTAAAGGTGTTTAAGAGGGTTTGATCAGAAAGCATCTCAATTTTCTTCAGTAATACCATTGTGCGAGTATACTCCAGTCCATGTGTAAGAAGATGATTGTAGTAAAGAACATATCTCCTTTGACTGGGAATTGTTACACCTTTTGCATTTCTTGTTCTTGCTTCTCCATAATACTTTAGTGCCCCATCACTCTCAAAAAAATGTTTATTGTGAAGCAAATATGCACATATCATAACTCCTGTCCGGCCCTTCAAAAGAAACGTACAGAACAGATGATGCAGACAATGAATATAATGTAGCTGATAGCTGTAAACTTAATGGATTCAAAATAAGCAACCATAGGATTGTTAAAATAATGAAACAATCCTTGCAGTAAGCAACTTGTCAACTTTAAGACTTTTATAGCAAATTTAAGACTTTGACAGGCTCTATAACCTATGACCTTTGATGTTTGCAGGCAGTTTCACTCCAAGAATAATTTCCTTATCAAATGTAATTTCCACTGCTGATATGAATCATATTTTAACAATAAATTAATCCCATTCTGATACCAAACACATACATGCAAGCCAAATTTGAATTTCTCCCTTCTCATAGCTTAAGCTGCTAGTTGATAAGACCATCCTCATGACATTGCAAAGTCAAAGTTTAAAAACCTGTTGAGGTTCCCTACTTCAAGTGCAATAGACTTCTTACAGTAGTATAATTATCTAGTCACACAATATCACTAAAAAGGATGATCCCTTCACCACTCCATTTTCGCAATTCAACTTTACTTTTCCGTATCCCCAATTCTGAAAGATTTTCACCAAACAGAATTGACAGAATTAAAGGCAAATATTCTTTTGTCTTGTCACAAACATTGGACAATGAAAAAATTCTGAGTTCTTGTGAGGAGTCAAACCTTAAGCTTTGGATTCTGCACTCATATAGAGACACTACCACTGAGCCACAGTGACTCTACATGAAGCAAGGCTGTTATAAGTTTCATATCAAAGGAATTCTTAGCTCTGATAATATTCTCCCTTGTGAACAACCAAGGTTCAATTACAGGGATAAGCTCTTTACCTTGCCAGCTTTGCAGTGAATAAAAGCTACATTCTGCTCACTCTCATTCAGAAATTCATGCACATCAACACAAAACGGCTCAATCAGCTCAAATGGAGGTGCATTGTGGTCGTCAAATGGGTAGGTGGCAACTAAAGAAAATAGACCATATTAATGTACCATTCAGTCTCTTTTTTTTCTTTTTTTACATACAAAGTACAGTAATACAAAAAGAATATGAAAATAACCTTCTGGATTTTGAACTAAAGAGTAAAATACTAATTTAATTTCTGACACACAAGAAATATTTCAAAGTACCAATAGTATGATATTATGGAAATATTACAAAATTCATTAATTTCACTGGGTTTTGTAAACATTCTTCAGCTTTTCTTTACATGACACAAATGCAAGATAAAAACCCCAGAAATGCTAAGCTTTAATTTAAAATGTAGTAAATATTCTACTTTAACACGATAGTTGGTGGTCAAACAACATGTCATGTGACTGGCTTGTTCAAAGCTCTCCTACAAAGCTCTCCTACAGGTGAGTTTTGTCTGACCCAGGATTAAACATTGGTTTTGTTTTGCACACTCTATCACAGATGTAACTTTTATTTTGGATTGACTGGTGGCAAAACAGCCAAGAACCCATATCTTGTTAATAACCAGAACTCCTGACCAAAAAAGAAACTGACTAACAGTAGTAAGCTAACTTACCTCTGTTTTTAAACTTGATTGGATCATAGTTTCTTTCAGAACATCTGTGTGTATAATGAGAAAAAAAATGAATTGCACCAACTGTGCTCTTTATAATGGTTCAGGGGTTTCAATGAAAGCAGGTTACGATCAGTCTCTTGCTTTTTATTAGACCTTGTGTGAGACTTCTTGCAACTATCAGATTAGATCATATTTATGTGCTCTATATGACCCTTCTCACAGTTGCAGCTCCCACTGCCACCCTACACAGCCATTTTCAGAAAAACTTTTTGATAATTTCTTGGTGCATTTATTTTTATTTCAATAACATGCCCAAATAAATCAACAATCCAGCTTGCCATTAAGGACTTACTCAAAATTGGGCTTGTTTCATGGCTAGACTTTTCAGTCAGCCCAAATGGACTGCACAGGACTGTTTCATTCCAAACAATATGTACAGTACTTGTCAGAATGAGTTCTTTTCCCTAATGTATTTATAAAGTGCACCTAGTCAATAAGTCAAATTGCATTGGCTAGCTTCTACAAATTGAATGCTTGCATTACTCACAAATTGTAAACCTTGTAGTGATCTTTATGCCTTGTTTCCAGAAATCTGTCGACAGAAAAGTAAATAAGTTACAAGTGTATTACTATATCAGCAATTCAAAACAGGTATGCCACTGGACAAACACAGCACCAGAACTTGACCAAATTTAGACTTATATTCTAAAGAAACCTTAACTGCACAATACTCTCTTTACATCAACCCACACAGCAAACAGGAATCAAAATATTTTGTTCAAGGTAAAAGCACATGAAACAAACACAGCAAGGATTTTCCAGTCCAGCTGATCTAACTCAGTCACAAGAGATTTTATAATGCAGCTGCAGAGACTTAATCATGTGACTGTAGCTACTTCTCTTTCTTCTTGCATTTTGCATCTCAGATGGCTATATACAGGGCCATGAGGCCTTGCTGATACCATGGTCGGGTGCTTCTATAAAAGCCAGTTACTGGCATTCTACCTATGCCTATAAGACTTCTTGCTGTTGCCTGTTTAGCCTGTGGTCAAGCTCCCATGTTTGGTTTTGCTTACAACCCATTTTTCCAAGCACAGCTTCCTATTACACCATCAGCAGCCACTTATGAAAAAAGTTATAGAAACAACCTGATTTTGTACTGCCTTTTTTTAAAGATTTTTTAACAACAGTTTTCTCTGCACAATAACAATGCTTATTACCATTTTCAATAACACACAAACTATGAACCATGAAAGAACAAAAAGAATAATTCCCTATATGCTCCAAGGCACTTAGTTTGATACAAGTAGAAGATTGTGAGAGATTGCAAACTATGGAATAGGAGATGCAACATTGGGAAAGTGTTTTACCTACTGTTAATCATGTTTCTGAAATCTGGGGAAAACATGTGCCATGTTGCATTGGGTTCAGAGGGTCATGGTTGGATGATTATAATCCAATTTGTTTCTGCTTTTGAGCACCAGTTGTGAAGAAAAATTAATAGTAATGTGAAATTAAATTTCAAATTTTACTCTCAGGCTCAGAGTTCACAAATTATTGGACAGGCAGAGAGACACTTGTGTTACCTTAGGACCTCATCAATGTGATTTCTATACACTCCTTCAAGATTATCTGATGGAAAACCCATTAAATTTTCAAATTTTACTCTGAGGCTCAGAGTTCACAAATTATTGGACAGGCAGAGAGACACTTGTGTTACCTTAGGACCTCATCAATGTGATTTCTATACACTCCTTCAAGATTATCTGATGGAAAACCCATTGCCACTATATTTGGTTTAATATCTGGGAGACAAATTAGTTAAAGAACAAAAACACATGATTGAAGCACCATTGTGACAAAAATGTTAAAATGCTAAATCAATAATTACTTCTCATAACCTCTGGAAGCTCAGGATTGATCAAATTATCACTTCTCCTTGAAAAATCAAGAAATGTTTAGCGAAACTATGCATTTTTTACAACAGATTCACCACTAAAAATAATTCTTAAAGAGTTTTTATATTTGTTTCAACTTCAAGGATATTGTACAGTTCAAACAATCTTACAGGAAAGCGGAAGCTTGTAAAATATCTTAGCAACTAGACAATATTTTGCTGAGTCGTATCTAAGCCGTCTAAGCAACGGCCCCAGAAATAAATAATTATGCAATGACGTATGAGAAATACGATGAAAAGATTATTTCGATTTTACGGAAAGCTTAAATGAAGGAGAAAATCAAACACCAGAAGCTGAGTTAAATACGCGACCCCGATTAAAGCAACTGCACAGATTACAAGATTGCCCAGCACAGATTCATGTTGAACGTACGTACCAATCGATAAGCAGAATGTAATGGTCGATCTTTTGCGAAGAGCACAGAAAATTATCAATACCCCTGAAAACTTCAAATAACAATTTAGCTCAAAGTGAAATATACAAGTTAAAAAAAGAGCCCTGAAAGACCCTTAACTTCTACACCAATTCCTCGACACTGCAACGGTTGGCTTGTGAAATGACCACTGCAGCGCGCTTAGTTTAGAGATCAAGTAGCTGATGTAAATACGTTCTTGCTATTAAACATAAATACGCACGGCCGTATCATTAGTGCAAACAAGGATACATGTTAAATCCAAATCAAACCCATCTTCCTGAAACCGCCGTTTCTTCTTACTCACGAGAGCTTTGAAATATGCCATCTCAGAGGGTGACTGTTATCGAGTGAGTTAACGAAAAACTTCTTGAGCAACCTGCTTCTGTTTGTTAATTTTGGCTCTTCCTCCGCTGACACATGCTTCAATGACACCTTCACCGATAATTATGTCAGTAACTGCAGAATTCTACAGTACATTACGACAATTAGGCCAGACAGACCATCACATATCATAGGTTGGCCGCCATATTTGAGGCATGCCGAGGGTGCTCACCCAAATATGGTCTCATACAGAGAACTGGGCCAGAATCCCGAAACCCTCGTTGTTTATACCCGCAATCACCCGCAAGGTCAAAATTCGAATTACTTCCTACGTTCGTGAAGAAGGATACAAGTTAGATCAAGGTCAAATCCATCATCTGTGAATCTTCTTTTTTCTTTGCTGACACAGTGCTTCAGAATTTCGAAAATGATTCCCATCTCGACAACGACAGATTGCTGAAGGAAAGAGAAATTTACCACAGACTTAAAAAAGTATCAGATAACTGAAGCTATACAAATAAGGGGGAAATTTTTAGCGCTGACAGCGGAAGTCCATTCTGTCGGTGATTTTGTGAAAAAATATCATGGACAACGAAAATCGGGGAAAGTTTAAGGCGAAGAACGGAAATTCTTATTGCTTAGCGATAATGCGGAACAAACCTGTACTGTAAAAATAGTATTAACGGAAGTACGACCCATATTTGACCTGAAGTCTGTAAAAATTTAATATGACTGCGTTAAATCAACTTGCTAAAAAGGGAACTTTTGATATTTTAATTGCCTTCGATACTTACCTTTGATTGTTGTGAGTTCTGTAAATATTCCCCAGAAACTTCTCAGTGCATCTATGAGTGTACTTGAATAAATGGAGTCTTGGATCCAATCTTCAGTGTTTATGTAGATCCTCGTTAAAGCAAAAATTCTTGGGAATCGTATCTCGATCGTGTCGTGAACGTGTAACTCCGCTAAAAATCAAGACAATTTACGCTTTTTTTCCAAGCTGATATTTACCGCAGTTATTTCAAGTCATTCACTGGTAAATACACTGAAAATAGGACAGAAAACCAGGCGAGACCAAGGACTTGAGCGAAATTATAACCTAAATGTACGTTCACTGAATTTTTACCTTTCAGATTGCTTTCCTACGTAACTTAGTAACATTTAAATTTGCATCAACACATTTGAGTTGTTTTTAGCAAGTTAAAAGTTCTATAACCTTCCTTCAAAGTTCTAGAACGTGACGGTCAGATGACTCGAAACCAAAAACACTGCGTCAGGAAATTAATATTATCATGATATTTAGTAGAGCATTACATCATTTAAAATGCGCTTCAGCCGGCTGATCTTGGGAATTTGATCTGTTGCACCACTGTAATGTGTGAGTTGGAAAGAGTCCTACAGGGGTATTCCCCAAGGAAAATGTAAAAAAAAAAGTCAGAGAGCACTACGTAATGATATTCTTTTTTCACCAACTGTGACCAATTATGAATGACGTGTCTTGATCGTCAGCAATTCATTGTTGCAGTTTCATTTTTTTTGTTTTTATAGCAAGATCAATTTCCAATCTTCTAGAACAGTCCATTGCTCATTTTTTTAAACAAATTCTCCAATCTTCAAGAAACTTTTTTTATGTCACGTTCCTCGTAAACTAGCATTGATAAAATTAAACGGCTGTGAATATATGAAAATCATCTTTTTGAACTGCGGATAAAGACGTGAATGAAAGTGATCCTCGCAGTAATGAACACTACTTGAGCAGCAGTGAAAATGAAAGTAGTGAAAATAGGTTCAAATCCCGCACAGGCCTGAAATTTTTTAAGGCCTTATTTTCACTACTGCCCAAGCAGTGTTCATTACTGCGAGGATCACTTTCATTCACATTGATAATATTGATACTAAGAGCCCTCAGAAATCAAAGGCGGCGTGGTGAGACCTTTATTGTTACAAGGAAATAAAAGATTTTTCGAGATTTGAATATAGCGCACACGGTATACCGCCAGCTCTGTGTAGTTATTTTAAAATGCACCACAGGAAATTCAGTTCCTTTTAATTTTATGTGGTAAGAACAGTGACACACTGTTGTGGCTGCGCCTCGTGTGCCATTTTTTTGTTCTTACCACATTTTGACGTCATCTGTGATCTTTTATTGAACAGACGCACGGCAACTTGGAATCTATTTGTTAAATATATCATCATATATATCATCCTCAAGGAGCACTCTCGTTCCAGGCCTTTCCTCGCGTTTCCTCGTCCAAAGATGCGAGAGGGGGTACGAACACAAGTGAAACTGGGAACAAGGTTGACTCCTGACTGTAGAGATCTTTCTTTTACGTTCATATATTGCTTACTTGTCGGTGTTCCCAGTGAATCAGATATATGTAATATCCAGGAAGGAGAGTGGACATCAGTAAACCTTTTTTTTGAACAATAAATTACATATCCACACCGTATATCCAGACTAGCAAAAGCTAAATTTTACATTACTGTACTTTGTACAAAGGTTTTGTTTAATCAAGAACATTCACAAAAGGAAATTGAAATTCATGTCGACAATGTTCGGGCTACCCATTAATTTTCACTACTTTTCGACACGTGATGCAAAATCGTAGGACAGTTATTACGCAATAGTCCCCATTTAGGTTGATATCTGTCCTTCGATTATTTTCGTCCAAAAGAAATAAAGCCAGTGGAAAAAAGCCAGCTCAAAATAGTTTTACCTTTTAATCTTTGTTTCACTTTACATGTCGGAAGAAGAACGAACTTATGTAGTAGGGTCCAGTGTTAGTGACATTAAAAATGCTGATCTCAAATGCTGTTGCGGAAAGTAAATAAAAGTTAACAAAATTTGCTGTCAACGCGCGATATGAAAATTAATGGTAGAGCCTTAAAATAAATAAACTATTTCTGGCTCGCTTGTTTGTCGGCTGATATTGTCCTTGGCTGAGAGACTGTCCTCAAAATTTCACATCTGCCCTCGAAGCTTCGCTTCTCGGCCAATTATCAAATTTTCGGACAATCTTTCAGCAGCGGACATTATCAGCCGACATACAGTTTCCTGGAAAAACTGGATCGAGGATCACCGGATCAAGGATCAAGGATCAGTTCAAAATGAATCAAATAAATTAAATAAATTAATAGGCATGATTGATTGCTCATCTACGTGACTCAGTCAAGATCTCCCGTATGCTAAAGCGAAAATAAGAGAAAATACTAAATACTGAAAAAGCCATAACACTTTGTGGAAGTGTCAATTTTCGCCTACCGACAATAAACTGATCCTTAATCTTTGGTCCTTGATCCTTGATCCGGTGATCCTTGATCTGGTTTTTTCAGGAAAACGCCGACATACTGGCCGTCTGAAGGGGTTTATTTACTAATCGACTATCTCAACTGAAAAGGGAGGGGGGTGAAGGATTTTGGCTGTGTCACAATGAAACTTTCCTCATTCCATTATAGGCTTTACGACCCCCCCTTCTTTACTAGCAGTTAGTTGGTAGTCAATTTTCTATAGTCTCCCCCCCCCCCCCGTTAATACTCTGTTCGCGACAACTGATCCCCTTCATTACCCCTGAAAACCACGTGATCCCCCAAAATTCTCTCCGTCTCCGGACAATAAGAGTGACTGGCCCCTTATAAACTCTCGTTGGCTTCAAATTTTTCATTTACTCTGGCAATTCGGAGAACTTCGATCCTTCCATGTAAGTTGAAAACGTAAATTGGCCACAAAGCTGACGTTTCGAGCGTTAGCCCTTCGTCTGAGCGAATACATTTATTTACATAACCTTTTCCCCTTGTAAGTTGATTCTAAAACATAGTTTATATTGATTTGTCAAAACATGCTCCTTTCTATAATTGTATGCGAAATACAAAACAATAAGACCAACTATTGGTCTGGGTCAAAGTCTACTTTTTTAGAGAATCCGATGTAGACCAGATGTTATGTTAATTTAAATTTGACAAATGCCATTTTTAGTTAATAATTGTTTTATTTTTCCATTTTAAAATAGCAATCTGTTTACATTGAGATAATGTAATTACCTTTACTACATTATGTACAGGAACTTCCTCAAAATCAATTTTCTTGCACGTGTGGCCGCTTCTTGCTTTTATTTCTTAGTAGGTGATTCAGTGGTTTGTTGTTTCTCAACGGAAGGGGAGCATTAATTTAGAGCTGAGTAACCGAAATTGGAGAATTTACGGTATTTAAGCGTTCATGTACTTTGCCTTAGTTCTCTCACAACTCGTGATACGTAATTATCAGAAACAGTCAAAAGCCAAGAAACTCGTTAATGTAATGCGCATTTGTACGACAGCTTCGCTTGATGTGAAAAATCTTTCGTCTTTTCTTTCCACCGACGGCTTGAATCTTTTTTTATCTCTTAAAACTGACCTCGAAAAGCGGAGTCGTTTTCTTATCAATCTAACAGGATCTATCCGTCAAAGTTACGCTAATTTAGGTGATTAACCTTTAATTCCCAAAAGTGATCTACTTGTAACTTCTCCCAATGATATTCGTACATCATCCAGCCGACAGGTAATGAGAATACTCATACTTATCAGGATGGCGTTATCTTGATCTAAAACCAAACTCTCAAAACTTATTTACAAGGAAATGTGTAGCAGCTAGAAGGGAGAATTGACAATCAGATCTTGGCAGTTAAAGGGTTAATATCCTATCGCCTGAAAAATGATAATAATTGTGAGGACAGAAAAGGAACATTCGTTGTTGCTTATATCAACGTAGTGGTTACGGAGGCTCGATTACCCAGGCTCCTCCAGGAAACTGCGGATATGGAAGTTAGGACGTTCGTGAGATGCCATACAATCTTTCATACACATCATTCAATGAACTGAAGTTAAATGAAAATCCTATTAACATTAGGTCATTTAATCACGGCAGTTAACTAACGCGTTATGTCTCAGTTCAGTAGAGTTCCTTGAAAAGGTTTCCCTAGTTTCTGACCATCTGGAAATCAGCATGATATAAATAAAATCATAAAACGGGAGTCACGGTTGATGCTCACCTTCTGAGGAGGCCTTTGCTCTGCAGCTGATGGATGACCACACATTTTATTTGATTTTTTACAAAAACTAAACTGTATTGACTTAGAATTTTTAGACGGACTGATACCGCATCAAACTAACGACTAGTTGGGAAGAAATGCATACTCGTATTGGCTAGCTTTGCGATTCAATCACAGGATCCAGTCGGTAGAACGGTAAACAGATAATTTCACGCATAACTGATTCTCCAATTCCTTCTTAGGTCTTCCAGCTGCTAAACTCCCTTATTGCAAACTGTCTTTTGTTGACAATTTTCTTGTCGGTTATTTGAAAAGTTCCCAATAATTACGTGAGGAGCAAATACCGGAATGTCAAACCTTTGAAGGCAGTAAAGGTAGAATGCTAGTACCACTTTATAGTGTCCTCTTTTTATACTCAGAATTTACAGAATATAGAATATGGCCGTACAGGGAAAGAGGAATAACACATTTTTCTACATTTTATGCAGGTTTTATCATAAAAAGAGAATAGAGAATATCGGTTGAACACTTATTAATTTCCGCTTGATTCATTGGTTCCACAAAGACGCAAAGAAAAACTGGGCCATTTCTTTTTGTTCACTTAACAATAAATGACGATTTTCAAAATACAAAAAACCTCAACACTGAAGACACTAAACAAAAAAGAACGGATTCCTCTCCTCTCATAGCAAGACAAAATGGTAATACCTATTTCACGGCCAGTACCGCCGGAAAAATGCATGGTCATCATTCAGACGCCAATGCTACTAATTACACTCGAAAATGAACACTGTGAATCATCAGATGTTACTATATATTGTGTACTTGTTTACTGATATTAATCAATTTTTTTTCCTAGTGTTGCATTTGAGAGCTATTTAAAAGCGATATGTTTCGCTTCACGTAGCTACTTGCCCCCTTCGGCATCTCTCTCACACCAGCATCTGACACTTGTTCAGGGAGAACTTGAACACTACCTTTAGAGCGCTTTTAGATTCTGTATTACGAAACTGATGTGTAACTTATGTCAGAGCGTGTTCCGTCAAATCAAATCAACCAAAACCACAAAGCTGTGATAATAACCTGAACAATGATCCTACTGTAAAAAATTACACCCGGATTAGCTTAGTCCGCCTAAAATATGCAGGATGCGTGAAATAGCAACTATAAATACTCATAATTATTAATTCCTTCAATATTAAGTCAACCAAACGTGAAATACATATTTATTTGTCTGTTTACTCAAAGTTCTGCTTTCTAATATGCACAACTTGTAAAGTTCCTCACGGGCCGTTTGTTTGGACCCTCTTGCTGTGGCACTCAAAGTAATTCTGATTTTCGTATACTGTTCGGGGACGACTACAAGGTCGTAGAGACGAATAGCAAAATAATAAAATATCAAAACAAATATCAGTTAATCCCAACTTCGACAGTATTGAGAAGGCCCTTTAACAGCTAAAAACAGTCAAAATTAGTCAAATAAGTTATAGGTCTCTGAAGAACCTACTACTTTGCTGTGTTGGTGAGCTTAACACCCAAGGTGGGAAATTGGCGCCTTTGAACGTCATTTCAGATTAAAGTGGCTCGTTATTTGCTTCGACCTTTTGAACTTTTACAGTATTTTGGCCCCTAATTATTGTCAATCACAATACACCCCAGACACTGTTAATAACCAAGGAACAAAGACTTGCTATTTCCTGCACTTTACTTTCACATACCCTTTACTAAAGTGATAAGATTCCTTCCCTCGACAGCCGCGTTTTGCAAAAATTCAACCCACGTATGGACTTACCACAAAAAAAAAATTGGTATTGTCGTTGTTCTTAGTGTTAAGATAAATGTGTTTCTGAAGACTACAATTCTGTTTCTTTGAGTTCATGGTGCTAATTCCCTCATTTTGAAATTTAAGCTCCTCAATTTGCGTCAATTAAAGTATGTAAATAAAGATTTGCTAGAGTATTAATTACGTACTCTAAAAGGTGATTATGAGCCAGTCACCGCAGACAGAATGCTACGTCAGTAGCCAGTTGTCGGAGAGTTCGAGCCCCGGAATTAAGGCCGACGAAACGTCCACCCTTTTGAATTCTGAAGACGGCTTATCTTTTGTTTGTATCAAATTACTGGTTGATCGTCAACGAGGGATGTCATTAAAGCTTGCGTTACCAAACGCACTCCCTGAACTTGCGCAACAGAATCGTTAGATATTTGACGGGTTTGACCTTCAGGAAACGTGTGTCTGTGGACATGGATTTTCACGGGAGAACTAGTTTCATGGTAGTTTGCTTCTTATCAGGTAAGTACGATATAAAACCAAGTCAAGATCTGGTGACTGCGAAGTCACATGCAAAACAACGTCGTTAGTCGTAAATTGAACCTTCTCGGTTAAGCGAAATTACTTCTCGGTGAGTTAACGAAGAACAGTGTTCAAATTCAATTAAAGAGCTGTATTGTTAAAGTGAGGAAATAATTGGGCCTTTTCGGCTGTAAATATAATCATGCTTTCATTTAAGCCAGAACAACATAGAAATTCCAAGACAGTATGATCTGCGTCGTAACAGTGGTATGCGTCCAGTAAGGAACGATTTTTCATATGTTAAACCTTAGATGGACGTTTTGGTTTAGAGCGCTTTGAAATTCAACGAGGAGGATGTATTGCTCTTGTAAGAACGGGAGAAAACAATAATATCGAATTTCTCCGGGACATCGCCGTCTGCACCGTCAATGTTCCATCTTGTATCCGTATATTTTGTTCACGATCTCATCGAAAATTTCACCTAAAAAAAAATCAAAGTGCTCTGTGAGCAAACTCGTGAATTGACACATGATTTTTTTGGATTATGTTTAATGTTATCTGGTTTGGGGAATTTTGTGGTTGATTGTCATATCTAGAGTACGAGCAGTAATTCAGTGTTCACTAATGTAGCAAAGAAACAAAGTAACGTTGGGATAAGAAGGCATTACAATATTGAAATGATCATGCTATTGCATTTGACAAGGGTAGATGATGTCATGTGTTTTAAACGTATATCATTTCTGTTTCTGGTTCAAAAGAAAAGGTTGGAGGTAAATGTGGGTGAAAAGTGAAATTTACTGTCTATCATTGTAAATATTAGAAAATCAAGGCAATACTGTCTTAGTGAAAGCATTAATGATTCCCTCTTTATCAAATGAGACAAACGGGAACGAGTTTTGAGTAATATACCTAAGCCAAGACTGCCACCGTCATTTTGGATCTCCACCTGGGTAGATTTTAGTCACGTGCTAGGTAACGTATAATTAATAACATGATAGAATTTCATTTCAGGCCTATTTATCAAATTTGTGGTGTATAACTTTCGCATTTTAATACGTTATATGTATTTTGAATCTTCAAATTGTCTTGAAACTTAATTTGAACAAACTTCAAATTGTCTTGAAACTTAATCTGAACAAATCTCTCTGCAAGCTTCGATGTCTAAATACCACAGTTGTCCCTAGGTCTTCAATTCGCGTACAGAGAAGCAGTCGACTCGACGCCTATAGAACCGTAATGTAGGATGATACTTTGCCTGACATGGTACCAACGGATGTTTGTCCTGGGTCTTTGTTCAGTTGGACAGAAATAAGAACGCACGCGAACTATAAGAAGATAATTCTTCAGTAAAATCGCTTATTTAATTTTTTTTAATCGGATTTGGCGGGACAGCTGAAGGGCAGCTTAAGGTTACTTCCCACCTTCGAGGGTATCCTTCTGGAAAAAATTCGTACGCGCGCTAGTTTCACTAAAATCCTAGCAAACTATACATCAGAAGAAAGCTTAATAACTGCAGATTACGATAAAAACATAATTTAAGCGACTTTTCTTTTAAGGAAGTGTCAGGAGCCGGTAAGGCGTGAAACGACGGAAGGTTCTTCGATTAAATTTGTTGGGAATCGGATGCCGCAGCACGAACTAAATGGCCGCAAATATTTCATATATCAAAATTTCCCGACACCTTCTCGTTTGTCATTATTCCTGGAATGTTTTGGCGAAATTTGACCTAAATCGGCGGAATCTATATAACCTATAAATTCGCTCAAAGTGGTTGTATTCCTCCCAAACTGAAACCGCAAACCATTGGGACAACGGGACCTCCTGGCGTCAATGACGATGGATCAAGATTTCCCTGGAAAAGTAACTCATTGCAGACACTTTTTTTTTTTTATTTCGATCGCTCAGTGGAATGTTGAGGAGGACGAAAAAATGATGAGCAAAGTTGCCGAAGGCAAAGGCAAGACCTGCGGCAAAAATGGAAAAAACGCAAAATGTGCTGAGGTGCAAGACAGCGAATCGACAGAAAGAATCGACGGACAGCTTTCAAAATTACTATTCGAGGCGATTGTAAATGTTTTTGTATCAAGGCTGGTACTTGCACCAAGGAAAGGAAACCTCATTTTTAACATTATGTATGGTAAAGTTTGGTTTGAAAGCGACTTCTTTGTTCAAAATCTGGACGCCAGCGTGGAGCTCCGCCAGTACTAATCGCTTTCACAAAGGAATTTTCTTTTCTCGACAGAATGGTTCGCTTTCATTCTTCTTTGGGTCTGTTTTTTTTTGTTTTTTTTTTTACCCAAGACTTTCTCTCGCTTTGGATTTTTCCATGGGCAAAGATCTTTCCATAAGCAAAGAGCTTCCACGTGAGAATTTTGTAAAGTGCGCGATGTAAAAACAAAGTATGGAACTAACATGTAAAACGAGCCCTCCATGAGCGGTTGCCTTAAGTGAAATTTTGTGTGTTTGCGATTCTATCAATAACGGTGTGCAGTTGTATTATCCTGACGGTGAACTTAATTTTAATTTTCCCCACCTTAACTGGCCAATGTACAGTGTACCTGCAACAGCTGTCAGTGGAAAACGATAATTTGTGTGTAAGAGGGAACTTGCTAAAGTAATCTTAAAGTTGCCTTATTTAAAAACACATTAAATTTTCCGCGATGTCCGAGTCCATTCTCTTAGTTAATGAGCTAGACATATTTTGCATAGTAATTTGTTCATTTGTGCGTGTGATAGTCAAAATGCAAATTCACTCACTTGAGTGGAAAACATTGACGCATCTTTCAGTTTAAAGTTAAATTTTATGTTTATTTCATCAAAAAGAAAACAATTTTCTTTAACTTCTCTTCTATTTGCCTGATTGGTTTTCGGGTAAAATTTCCGCACAGCCCCATACTACATTATGCATTCAGTTCTTGGATAGAGAAAACAATGACAAAAACAATACATTGCCATTGGGAAAACAGATTTGTTTTACAATAGGATGGGACTATGTGGAAATTTTACCGGTTTTCGTTCGATCGTTATGGTTCCCACATAAAATAACAATGCCGACGAAATACACGTAAAAGTTGCCTTGATTTCAAATTCAATTACGAGCTGCAGACAAATATTTTTCTCTTGTCAGTTTAAGATGCAAGTTCACTTTTCTGAAGTTTCTCGATTTTCAGTGGTGGGAAATGCATATGAAACCTGAATCGTGCTAAAGCCACTGATTAAGCGTAACGCTGTGTTCCGGCTGACAAGGAAAGGGGTTCAGGTATACAACATGTAGGGTTACATGACGAAAAGTTAGAAGGGTTGGCTGTAAATTTGCACCTTGATGAGGAGTGTAAGAGGCAACCTTACACGCTATTTTTTTTTTTGCATCAAAATTGGCGAAAGGCCATGTAATCATCATTCAGCCAAAAGATATCGAGATTATCGATATTAAATGTCGGTGGCTGGGGAAATTTAAAACAGATGACATCTCACGTTGCTGCTTTCAAATGGCCATATCGGGTTGACTAACGTTTTTGAAAAGTCAAACTCCACGGCCGTACTTTTACCTGAAATCACAAAATGGTCGCCAGGAGAAAAATTTCGTGGCCAAAATAAAAATAAAGGAAATTAAATAAAAAGAAAAGAAACAATTTAGGAACCTTCAGTGTTCTAGCCATCATATATCTATTTATTCTGATCTCAGAAATAACGGAAATGTCCTTAAAAATATGCCTTTTGTCACTAACAGATTTTTCCGTCCGCTTGCTCACCTTATGCTTGCCGAAAGAAATGAAAGCAATCTCTCCGCAAGATGTCCCCAGGTTTTCGTTTCGCGGAGAGGCTGTTTGTATCTTAAATAGGCTAACATATTGCGTGACATGGCATTTTCGCGTTGGGTCTTCACTCAGTTAAACGAAAAAATGAAAAACACACACTCGCGAACAATAGGAAAGTCTTCGGATAATCATTTATTTCACAAATTGTATGAATTATTTCAAGGCGGTTAGCAGCTGTAAGTATTTCGTTAAATGGATTGTTTGAAATATGATATGTATGCAAAATCTGTCTGGTTTGAAGGCCCATTAACTAAATGGACTTGGTGATCGTCTCAAATTTTTATATATTTAATAAGGTAATTTTAAGACGGTAATTTGGCAAGTTCCCCTCTCACTCACAAAAATTTCTCCATTTACTCCTACTGCAAGGTACATTGGCCAGTTAAGGTGGGGAAAATTAGAAATAAGTTTACCATCGAGATAATACATCTGCACACTGTTATTGTTCGAATCGCAAACACACAAAATTTCACTTTCGGTAACTGCGACCCCTTGAGGGGAATTCATGCAACCAATATTATGTATAAATGTCCCACTTTTATCGAATACTTTTACACAGTTTGCACATCCATCCGTCATGAAATATGAGTTTTTAAAAGCTACACAGTGTTGGGGTTCGCTTATGCCAGACGAGTCACGACATCCCCATGATTTCTTCTCCAAAATAGCGTGACTTGAAAATTTAAGCTTGAAATTTCCGCGTTCGTCGAAAACTTGAACTCGCTTGTTGCCCCAGTCGCTAACAATTATATTGTCATGTTCGTCTATGGACAAACCACAGGGAAAGTTAAACTGCCCATCAGCTGTCCCACCAGATCCAAATGAAAAACAAAATTTACCAGCTCTACAATCGTACAGTTGAATACGATGGTTTCCATAATCAGAAACTAACAAATGGTTGCTTTTGTTGTACGCTATTCCATCAGGTAACGACAAATTGCCATTTTCTGTTCCACTACCACCGATTGTTTCTTTGAATGTTCCATCTTCGTTCAAAATGATGAGACGATCACATCCCTGGTCGGACACGGCAATGTCTCCTTTGGAGTTAACTGCAATTCCCGATAAATTAACATCGTGGCCTTCGGCTTCCAACCACCGTAAATTGTAGGACGCTTTTTGTGTTATTGGAGGAGGTTTTACGTGTATCATTTCCACAGCTTTTCGTATTTATGTACCTTAGTAGTAAGTACGGGCCGCCACTGCATCAACAGGAAGTTGTTTGCTGCTGATAGGATGACAATTATGATAATCAACAAATGAAAAAATTTGCATGACGAAATGTTGTTTATTGAAACGAAATACAATTTCCTTGACTTCCTTTTTTATTTGCCCGATCGCTTTTGCCGTCGATCGTCAAGGTTTTCTCGACAAAATAACAATGATGATGAAACCAACGTAAAATTTTCCTTTATTCCTAGATTTTATTCCGTTCTGCAGATAATAATTTGTTCTTTTGTACGTTTGTTATTGTCAAAATGCAAATTTACTTTTCTGAAGTATCTCGATTGTCAGTGGTGCGAAATGTATTTGAAACCTTAATTGAGCATAGGCCACTAAGTAAGCAAACGCTTCTAAGTCCTGACTGACAACGCGAATAATCTCACCTTTTTATCTACCATATACAATATGTGGGCTTGCATGAGTAAAAGCGGCGCGTTCGGCTGAATACTTGCACGTTATGTGAGCGGGAATTTGAGGTGCGAGAGGCAAACACGCGCGTTTGTGGCACTTTAGGGAAATTGTATCCCGCGCAATCCGCGTGGGATGCTTTGAAACTGGTGAAAGGTAATGTGATTACTAATCAGCCTATGCAAAAGATGGCAAGTTTCTAATAACGCTCGAAACGTCAGCTCTAGAATCTCCTTACAATGACCAATGTTCATCGTCATCTCATTCGATAACTTAACCAATACATATAAAATTCGATTTCAGTGCGTGGGAAAACGCTGACGTATAGTTTCCCGGGAAAATTTTACTTGAATGAATGTCACGTTGCTTGAGAGTTGACAAACTCAAACTTCACGGTTTGTCTATACCAAGCGATTATAAACTCCCTATAGATTCTTATATTTTCTTGTCTTTACTGGAATTATAAACGATCGCCAGATGGAAAGTTTAGGCATCCGAAAAAAGGTTACGGACAGCTTATTTTGTATTACATGACGATGTAGATTTTGAAATTCAGTAAATCTATCAAAGAAGATAGGAAAACATTTACAAAACACGACGAAAGGATATTAGTTTCATTGGGTGAAAATATTTACCAAATAACTTTGATCTCAAGTCACTAAATTACCGATCTTTGAGGCAAATTTGTTCGCAATTTTTTTCTCTTTTGCATGGTGCTCTAAGCGATTGCCGATTGGAGTGCTGAGCTCAGATCTTGAAAATCAAAGTTTTATTCCATTCTTGTAAAATAAAAAATTTCCCAAAGAGATTAAAAGTCTTATCTTGGTGCGGAGTGATTCGGTTTCGGTTCGGCAGATCTGGCATTTAAAAAACTCTGCGAATACCTAAAAAATGATTATCAAACTTAAAATTTTAAAAGATACCGCAAATTGCAATTTGGCTGAAAATTTTCGCTCGGATGCCGGACGCTGGCTGTTTAAAAGTTCGGATTATGGATAGCATTGCCGGACTTCTCGCCTGCGTTGCAGACATATTTTGCTCCGTTTAAATCCAAAGGGAAGAAACGAGATTGGAAGAGGGCTAAGCATGAGGCGAAAGCGGACCAAAAGAAATGAATGACAAGCGGGAGATAGCTATCGCGAAGGAGGAAAACTTTCCTTTCCTTTGCCGGAAGTTTTAAAGGAATACGGTAACAAAGATAACAAAAATAGAGCCTGATAAAAAATATCGCAGACTGGCGAATTCCTACTCTCCTACACACACTCCCCGCCCCACATATCGGAGATTTAAGTGCGCTCTTAGGATGAATGGATTAGTCATTGTTGAAATAAATTTCGTTCAGAATAAAAATGAATTAATGGGCCATGTGATTAATCAAACATGGCATTTTCAATTTAAATGTTTTTCCTTTGAATTTTAGGCACGAAGTGAACTTTTTCATAAATCAATAGATTTGCAGTTTGCAACGGTTACAATTTGTAAATCCAACTGAATACATTATTCAGTCTGTTAAATGCAGCTAATACTGTTGCAATCACAGTTAACTTAAAATATTAGCTCGTGAAATCTTTGCAATTAAACCGACATTTTTCAAATGCACGGAAATGACGTATGGAAACCATTTTACTAAAACTTTGTAATTGTTGCTACAGACATGATGTTTTCAAACCGCACGAAGGGGATAAAAATGATGGAAGATTATCCTTCGCCTAGTTGGGAAAGGATACGCGAGCTGGACTAGGGATGACATGACACGGTATTCATGCAATGATCGATGCGCGCCAAAATCATCAAACAATCAATTAAGAGGCTTCCATCTTTGAAACAAGAAAATTTTCATTCATTTTTTTTCAGTTTGCTATTTGCCATGCGCTTCAAATTCTCCACGCCAGTTGCTAATAAAATTATTTTAACCTACTTGGTATAGGCGAAACTCTTATATAAAAACTAAAGAATATCAACCAGTTGATATTCTCTCGATAAAAATCTACTGTTTTCATTTAAAGTCATTGTTCAATGACCTAAAACATCATCAACAAGAACTTGAATTGTTGTCATGTAATTCTCCTTAAAATGGACAATTTAGGACAGTTATTTGGCAACTTCCCCTCTCACTCACAAAAATCTCTCTATTTGATCCCTTTGCCAGGTACATTGGCCAGGTTAAATTGGAGACACTAGAAACAAAAGCGCCATCAGGGTAATACAACTGCAGGCAGTTATTATTCGAATCACAAACGCACAAAATTTCGCTTTCAATAACGGCAATCCCTTGAGGAGAATTCATACAGCCTATATTGTGCAGAAATGTTCCTCTTTCATCAAATACTTGCACGCAGTTTGCACACCCATCCGTCATAAAATATAGGTTTTTCAAGGCTATGCAATGTTGCGGTTCGCTTGGCTCGGGAGACTCAGTGGCCTGACCTGAAAACCTTAGCTTGAAATTTCCGCGTTCGTCAAAAACTTGGACTCGCTTGTTACCCCAGTCGCTAACAATGATATTGTCATGTTCGTCTATGGACAAACCACAGGGAAAGTAAAGTTGCCCATCAGCCGATCCACCAGATCCGAATGAAAAACAAAATTTACCAGCTCTACAATCGTACAGTTGAATACGATGGTTTCCATAATCAGAAACCAGCAAATGGTCGCTTTTGTTGTACGCTATTCCATCAGGTAACGTCACATTGTCTTTTCCTTTCCCTCTACTACCGATCGTTTCTTTAAATATTCCATCTTTGTTCAAAATGATGAGACGATCACATCCCTGGTCAGACACGGCGATGTCTCCTTTGGAGTTAACCGCAATTCCTGATAAATTAACATCGTGGCCTTCGGCTTCCAACCACCGTAAAGTGTACGAAGCTCTTGGTGTTATTGGAGGAGGTTTTACGTGTATCATTTTTACGGCCTCTCTTTACTTCATGTCGTTATTGAAGGTCCGCTGCTATGGCTTGCGCACAGGAAGTGAAGTTGGTGTCGATGCTTAGGATCAGTTGCCACACCAGGATTAAATCTGACAGAATTCTAACAAGAGTTATTGACGATATCATTTCCATAAAAGGATTACAATTCTGTCACTTCCTTTCCTTTTAGCAAATCGGTAATCTTGTCCATCGAAAAACCACAAGTCCAATATTCTACTCGCTAAACTACCTACCATTTCGAAGCTAAATTTCCTGTTGAAGACAATGCATACTTCTTCAGGCTTTTTGATCAGAGAAATGCAAATTAAACTCTTTAAGCTTTCTTTTTCGATCAGCTGTCATATTCCTACAATAGTCAGGGGCCAGGTACGTTTTCGTTATCACTTTCAACGAATATTGTAGATCGTGCGTTGTTGAAGTGGGAACATATATGTATGCTTCATTGACGTCCGCCATCTAGTAAGCAATAATTATTCGTCAAACTTCTATTTCCTTTGCGAATATTTTTAGATGAGGACATCAAAAGTGAATTGATTCCAGACATGAAAATAATCGGCAGCTCTAGAATAAAACTGTCATTGAATATATAATATTCATTATTTTTGTCCCTCAATAATGATTAAAACACCGTTAGAGCGTTGAAATCTGAAAAAAGCGTTGAAATTCAAGTTAAGTAAGAAAAGAAAGGTTAAAAAAAAGCAGGGACGAGGTGGGTTGTTACTTAGCAGTAGAAAAAATAAATAAGGGAAACTGGAGTCAAAAGGTAATGAATTGTTGGAGTCGAGATGAAGCGGAAGTCGTTCTCACTGTTAATGGAAATAATGACAGTCACTGCCAGAACGACTGATAAACTTTGTGAATTTTTCCCTCTCTTGACTTCCTGAAAATGATTCGATACACCTAGACACGCAATAGTGTATCAACCAACGCAGTGTTTGTTCACACTCCTCTTATCGTTAAGCCAAAAATCTTTATAAATCACAAATATTTGATTTGAAATGTCCCCAACCTCCTCTAAGTAGAGTTAAAAGTTCCTTAGATGCCTTCACGTTCCCTGGCCGCCTCCCCCTATATGACGTCATCGTTTGTTCCGTTCTTAAATCCTCTCAACCCATACTGTTTTTATCCTTTACCGCATTTTGATCTGATGTTGCCCTCTTCCTTTTTTTCGTAGTCGGGGATCATCACGCAATTGAAATTTAACATATCTTAATGTTTGCAGTGGGGTCGATGAGTTGTTTTCGAAATTTTGCGCGATACAAAATGCAAACAGTTCGAGAGGATGATGATAAAACAGGGACATAGCTAACAACAAAACAAAAACAGGCAATTCATCAGAATATATCAGATAAGGATATTCACAGAGTCTGTTGAACTCTTCGACTCCAAAGAGTGACTAGCATCTAATTTCTCATCACAATATTACCCCGGCCCTGGATCACACATTAACATCATCAGAAACGATCACCAACTAAAAAATTCCTTGATTGTTGGTCAAATTCTCCTTGTCAGCACCCTAGGAAATGTACAGAAAACAGTAATGACTAATGTTAGGGTGTAAAGGGTTATTTATGGGTAAAGAGGAGACACACTATCAGTGAATATGAAGAGTTGGAGGAGTTTTCATGATCAAACCTTACGCCGGAAAGGAAGACAGACATTTCCCTTTATGCTAAATTTATGCATGGTTGACGGTTTGAAATATTCCGTTTTGACGGTAACCGTTAACAGCTAACAAGATCCACCGGAATAATTCACGATTTTTTAACATTTCTTTTCCGGTTTTATTCGTTTTATTTTGCAGTATGGATCACGGCATATTCCCTGACTATGACCCAGTCTCTGCGCGCGATACTGAACAATTTTAACAGTACAAGAAATGTCTACATCGACCCAGCTGCGAAACAAATAGCACGTGACTACATCGTGACAACTTTTAGGGATCATGGACTGCAAACGTGGACTGAAGAATTTCAGAGCAATAACGACAAGGTGAATAACTCATTTTGAATAGGGATTTGACAAATGGAAACTTGAGGGAGTGTTATAAAAGTGTCCTTAAGAAACGTAATGATGATAAGCAATTATTGGATGAGGTTGAGCATGGTGTCATGAATTATCAAGCCGAGTTCGGCTTTGGCAGACGCGAGGTTTGATAATTTATGATATCATACGAAAACCGAATTCAATAATTGTTATTTTATACATTTTTAAAACAATTCGCAAAAGAAGACACTTCCCCTTGAGTTGCAAAAGTTTGAGAACACTGCACGGAAGAAGGGTTTAGTAGACTTTAAACTAGGCATTATTAATGCAATATCCGCTGCAGATATTGCATTTATTATCTCAACTTCACACGCTACTATATATTGATTGAATGCTTTCGATATATTAGATATTACACAGTCAAATTGGTTAACGATACCTCTTGTTGCACGACTAAAATTTAAGGTCTGTTAATGCAAGGAAAAATTTTTTGTACCTAGCTTGGTTATAATTAAGACAGTCCCGCCTTCGCTGAACTAACGCACCTTTTAATGTTTTTATGTATACACAATATTTAACCTTCGACTTAAAAACTTCGAATCTGAGCAGACTTTGCACGAAGCAAACTCGTTAAAAAAACGTACAATTTTTATTGAACTCGCCAGGAGATGGTCTACTTCCCTTCAGTAATTGAGACTTCTGGCTAGTTTCCCCTTTATTCACGACGCACAAAATTCCCACCTACCTGCGAGAGGTGTAGGGCCTTGAAAGTCTGCTTAGGGGAATTTTTTTCTGCTCAACCAAACACGTCTGCCTTTTCTAGTTCCCAGGGATAAACGTCGTTGGTCGGCTGCCTGGTCGCTATTCTGGAACACGTGACGACAAAATCGTTCTCATTGGTTCTCACTATGACACAGTCCAGACCACTTCCGGTGTGGATGATAACGGATCGGGGATGACTGCCTTGCTACAAGCTTTAGAGCTATACACTAGTTCAGGTGTGATATTAGTTATGTACGATAATGTCCATGGGCTATAAGGAGCGGAATCAGCTATTCGCCCATTTAAGAGTTAATCCTTCCACTGCTTCGGGTTCATATATAGAAATCGTTTAAGAATAAATATCGTTTCCCGACCAATACAGCTCAGGAGCCATATTCTTTTGGGCATCATCCGACTTTATTGCTTATTTTGGAAATTAAACCCCCTTTTAAGTGGGTACTGACGAACAGTGGATTGGAACAGAACCCGATTAGAAACACAAACTGATACCCCATTCACACCAGCAAAACATGTTTTGTTAAGAAACACAGAGAACTGAGATTTTCCATTGAAAGTACTTGCTAACTTGCATTTCCAATGTGCTACATTCAAGTCAAAAATATTCGGTTAAATAGTTTCTATGAAGAAAAAAAAAATTAAACTGTGTTTAACAAAACAACTTTTAAACATGTTTAAGCTTTGGTGTGAATGGGGCATGAGATTGAAAAGACGTAAGACTAGCGCTCATTTTAAATAATATGAGTTCAATTGAGTGCTAAGTGAGTTTTTCTAAAGAAACTGTGGTGTTGCACCGGTAGGTGTTATACAAGACAATTTGGTTTTATCAACAGAGTCGGCAAAATGAATTATAATCCATCAAATAGTTTTGCTCGCGTGCGATTGATCCAAAATCACCACGTGATCAAATATACCCAAACTATCCGAGGATGAGCCTCGAGTGATATTACTCAATTTTGTGATACTACCCAATTTTGAAACGGTACGTCCATTGCGATGAAATCGTTCGTTTAAAATTAAGTTTCAAAATTAGGGACATATTTGTTTGTTCGTCCCATTCGTTTGAAAACAATTTCCCGCGCATTGTAAAAATATTTGAGGCCCACAGTTTTTATTGAGCTTCACTCTGGGGAAACTGTTTGCATCAATTCCATGATAAATAGTGAGTAAAGAAGTCGCCCAATGTTATCTGGTTGTTATCAAAATGAGATAAAAACATGAGCCTGTCTGATTGTTATGTTTTTAGTATGCGCTTCGCCCTCATAAGTTATGACACAATAGAAATCTTCAGATCACAATCCAATTATTAAATAAATAGTGAGAGACGAAGCTTATTACATTGCAGCATTTGTGATAGAGGGCTCGTAAATTTACATACTTATATATAATACCCCATCATGGCGGGCGATGAAGATCTTGCATAAAAACAAAAAAAAATCGATATAATTGATGAGGAGGCGGTGTGGCCGAGTAGTCAGGGCGCTGAATTTATAATCTGGTGGTTCCAGTTCAAAGCCCACCACATCCACTGCATGGATTTGTTCGCAGTTGCGCCAAATTTAACACCTCGGCTACACTGTTTAAGTATTCAACTGTTCTGCCTCCAGCCAATTGGGGCTTTTAAACATTTTGTTTATTTAGGGCCTGTTTACATGGAGGTGGGGGACCCCAGGTAGGTGAGGTAACCCGCCTAGGTGGGGTAATGGCTGTCCATACAACTTCTTATTTTATTTTGATCACGTTTACATGATAGGTGGGGTGACCCGCCTAGGCGGGTTGCCCGGTCTGCCAGTTAGGGTAACCCTGCCAGCCGGGGTGACAGTTTGCCATGTAAACGTGTCAAGGTGGGATAACCCGCCTAGGCGGGGTCGCAGTTCATGGCAAAAAGCTCAAAAGCGAAACATATATGTTTTAAAACTTTGTACATTTCCTATCCGTCTCATAGCAGAAATCACCAGAAACAGTAACGGACACGCAAGGAGTGTAAAATGTTCACATTTCGGAATATTTAGCGTCGTAAATCGACCATATTTGGTTTCCCAAACTATTCCGTATAACGTATTAAGTCAACGGTTTTTCGCGAAACCAAACACCTCTAACACGCGTGATGCTTTCATGAATAAATACGTATGTGTCCGAGAATTAATCTTTCGTCTTTTTCGAGATGTGAGCTTGGGACGCCTCTGCACAAACTCTTTAATTGCAAGCGCAACAACAACCTCAAGAAACCTCACCCCAGCACCCCGGGGTAGTAAGATTGCATGTAAACGCGTTTTATTTTTCGACCACGGCTAGGCGGGTAACCTCATCTACCTGGGGTCCCCCACCTCCATGTAAACAGGCCCTACAATATTTGTTTAAATTTGTTTATAATGGTCCTGTAAAAACCTTGTTGGAGGAGTGGTAAGTTAATGTTATGATTAATATCGTAATTGTGAAACTCCTTTCTTTAGACAAACAGAAATGTTCACGAGATTACACGCTTTTGTTCGTGGCTTTCGATCTGGAAGAACGTCAACCTACCGTCAACACCAGCTGCTCAAAGTCAGGAAACTGCCCTTGTAGTGGTGGAAGTTGTGGCAGCTATTATTTCGTACAGAATTTCAGTCAGTATCTCAACAACAATGGAGTTGGTTTCCAGGGAGCCATTGTTTTGGAAACCATTCTTAACTACAACACCACACCAAATTCTCAAGTGTTTCCTAGTGGTTTGAAGCCGTATTTTACAGAGACATACAACAAAATATCACAAAATGGGTTCACGGGTGACTTCTTGGCTTTAATTGGTCGGTCAACATATGACAGAAGACTCATCGATGGAATAACAAATGCTTTCAAGGAAGACGGTGTGTTCTTGTAGTGCTTTGTTACTATCGCTCGATATCTTTTGCTTTGGTGAAGCCAAATTGCTTACACTCTTAAGAGAGCACCAAGGAGCATAAAAATTTTGCATTGTTTTAATTTTTCGGCAGGACTTGTGGATTTTCCTTGATGTGCAAATGAATCACCGGAAAATGTATTATCTTCAGTCCAAATCCATTTACGTATCATTTATTGTGATTATTGTGTGTCCCCTCAACCTCGTTCCTAGGGTGCCCTCTCCTCTTCTCTCTAGGGGGGAAGAGAGAGGACCCTGGAAATGAGGTCGGTGTTGCCCTCTTTATTAATCGACAAGTTAGTAAATTTGAAAGTCTTCCCGGCGTTTCTTTCCTTCTTGATCTGATCTAATGCTGTGTAATCAATTTTTAAACATATCGACCCGCAACAAAAATGTTTTTCCGCCAAACAGTCTCAAAAAAATCACAGATCTTCAAAATGGGACCCTCGCAGGATTTTAAGGTGTGCCACATTGCCGAACCTTGATAAAAGCAGGATAAAATATGTATATTGGATTTTTGTTTCAATCGTAATTTCGTATTAAGTTTCAAGAAAATCTGTTTTCCCTCATTTTCTAGAAAACTTTCTAACAATTGCCATGCCTATACCCAACTTGTTTTCATCTGGTCGACCGGACACTTGGCCCGAAAAAATTAGGCAAGGTATGGGGGATTTCTTTCGTTCCGACCATTACTATTTCTGGAATGCGAAGCCAACGTTACCAGCGATCTTTGTCACAGACTCTGCGGATTTCCGAGGATTCATGAAAAAATGTTATCACAACGCCTGTGACGACATGAGTCACGTGACCCCAGAGATGATGATGTTTTTGGCGCGAACAACAAACAGCGTGGCTAAACTGGTCTCCAACATGACAAATGAAAAGTGCGAAATGAAAAAGGCTGGTAAGTTTTACTTGACATCATGATTTATGATATATAATTAACATTTTAAGCCCTGTCAAATATTTGGCTGAGGCTGAGGCTGAGGCCTTTAGTACAATTATACTATATCAATTGATAGCGTTGAAGGCGTGCTCTGATTGGCTACTCAAATACCAAATTTCCTTTGTTAGTATGTACAACACAAGTGAATAGTGCTTGTCGCGCGCTGATTGGCTAGTTCGGAAGTGAATTGCAAGTACCAAGATAATTACCATTCACCTCCACTTCGGTAAATAATTAGTAACTATTCCGACCATAGTTGAACATTATTATAAACATTATTAACAGGCTCGGTTAATGTCTACTACAAGCCACCTCTGCTCGGATAACAGATTATTTCCTTGCTTTTCTGTTTTGCCTTCCCTTTACTCAACATTTTAATGAACCTTGAATTGTCATTTAATATAAGTATTACAACATATTTTTGGTTTCAATTACTTAATTTACTTCGGAATTTGTACAAAAATTTTAATCAATGAACTTCCTTGGGGCTTGAGACTCAAAGTTTGTCATTTAGCGGTAAATAATCAAAATTATTCACCGACGTGGAGGTGAAAAGTAATGGAAAGTAATGGATATTTACCACTTTCAATGGCTTTGAGGTGAATATTTGTTTTAGTTATACTGTACAGAAACCAAGAAATTGTAGTTTATTTCTGTCAATATACCGAGAGATGGTCAGAAATAAAACTATTGACAAACAATTTTGTCTCTTCGGCTGCTCGAAGGTGAATATTACTTGCCAATCACTTCCGAACTAGCCAATCAACGCGCGCGTAAAGCACTATTCACGTGCCAGGTATATACTAAGCACAGTATCTGGCTGTAGGATACATTTGAGGGTCCTCTGTAGCCAGAGCGTGCATCTTCAAGCTGTTGAATGACTTACATAAGTGTTAACTCCTACGAATGTTTTTCAGTCAGCGCACAAGTGAGAGATCCTACGACCTGTAGGGAAAAGAGCAATTAGTTTCACTTTTGTTACTGAGTGAATATGTGTAATTTTGTCTGAAAACCTACAGCTTCAGATGAAAAGAAGTACCAATTTGATATAGTAAAAATAAACATTTATGTGGCGCTAAAACTATTTACATATTCAAACGCGTCTTACATTACAGTAAGGATTATAAACTAGTGCTGAACGCTTTCCTAAAAAGAAATTTTGTGAGCTGTTTATGAAATGTAACCAGGCTGCTAAAGGATCTTATTGGTAACGGCAACGAGTTCTATAAGGCAGGAGCAGCACGAGCAAAAGCGCGATCCCGAAGTGTAGAGTAATTGACGTGTGAAACGAACAGAAGAGATTGTGTACACGAGCGAAGAGCATAGTTAAAGGCAGGTTTAAGAGATAAAAGGTATTGGGTTGTTTAGCGACCTAATAAACAAAAAGAAGCAATTGAAATTGAACTCTGAATGATACAGGAGGCTATTGTAGGTCGATGAGAGCCGGTGTGATGTGGTCAAATTTCGTAATCTGAAATATCACCCTAGCTACGGCGTTCTGAACTTTCTGTAAACGATCAAGTTGATATTTAGGTAGACCAAAAAGAAGCGAGTCGTCATTGTTCGGGGGCAAGTCCCGTTATTTTCTTGTCGGGAGTTAAATACTTAGCGTGGTTTGTTATCTTTTCGCCTGGGGAAACTATCTGTCATCCGTGGGCAGTGGAAAACAAACATGTACTTTCCCAGAAATAACGTGGCTTTGCATTTCAGCTTTCATAACTTTTCCTCCATATGTAGCGAAGAAACTTCATGTCAACGTAACATCAAGTAATGATTAACGGGACTGCAAAAGAACAAAATTGTTCAAGATCTTTTCCTGAATGGTTTGAAATTGTTGGAATATTATCATTGTGCAGTTCTTGGCTTTCGCAAGAATGTTTGATAATTTTTAGCTAGTTATACCGCTTTTTTCTTTACATGTGCAGACTGTGTTCAACAGATAACAGAAAGCGAAGGTGAAATCGTAACGCCGTACCATGACACCGTGTATCCTAACAAACTGAACTGCGCATGGACTATTTCACTTGACGCTGAACATAAAGATCTCAAGTTCAAGTTTACAGCGTTTGATCTGGAGGAGAGCATCGACTGTACTGCAGACTATGTTGTCATTCGGGATGGAAAAGACGAAACATACCCTTTGATTGGTAAAAAAAAGAATAACATAATTTCTCACCTCAACCTGACCAAACCTAATCCAACTTAGGGCACCACTACAGCAAACGGCCGTCAAAACACGAAAGGTCTTGTCACGAAAGACTAAACATCTTTTCATTTCGCGTAACGCACAGTCATTTCTTGAAGTCTTTGAAGTCTTTAATAAATCATAAGATAAAAGATACATATCCTATGTTACATAAACGAGAAACTGTGTAATGATAATTACAGTAATATACTGTGGCCAAAAAGAGCCAAATTTCACAAGATTAAGCATGACGCAGAATAACGTTATGCACCAAATAAAGGGCACGTTTTCTGAGGATGTTTCGGGGAAGGTTTTCAGATTGGCGAACTATTTTTTTGCAGTGATACGAACTATTAAAAAATTTGGACATTCTCCTTGCCTGCTCCGTCGAAACGTTTCAGACTAATCAGGAACAAACGCGCCAGATGGCTGGAGCTTAGCTAACAATACGCTGTTTTTTCGCAGGGAAATATTGTGGGAGGACTCTTCCAAAGCCAGTTACGGCTTCGTCCCAGTCCCTATACATCATGTTCCACTCGGACGACCTGGTAGCTTCCAAGGGTTTCAAAGCGGAATGGACATCAAGTGTTACCTCAAGTGCTTTTCAAGGTGAGCTTTTTAGTTGCGATGAAGTACCTTACATCTATCGATGAAGTCGCTTTCACTTGAGCTTGGATCCTCTTTAAAAGTCAAATGGTGTCACACTATCTTGAGAGGTGCTGTTTTAAAAAAACTTGCAAACGATGACCACCTCGCTTTCACATTTTGCGTTTTTTCTCCTCCCTGGCCTTGTAAAAAGTGACCACGTCTTCTTTGATGACGATAAACACGAATGCACGCATACCTTACCATTTCCAGTCCACAAAAAGGCCGGTTTCACACTGGATCGAGTGGCTGTTTTTCTTTTTCATGTATATTATAACGAAATTTCGAACAAGAATTGTCCTGTTGTTCCAGGATCTCTTTTGATACCATTTCCAGCATAACGAGCGCAAAGTGTATTTTGCTCTTTAACTAATTATTGAAAAAAAAGGGCTAGGATATGGGAGTAAATATCCCAGGGTTTAACAAATGACCTGAATTTGCATTCTTTTTGATAGGATATCGTCCAATAATGTGGCAAAGCCTTGCTTACCTTGTGTGTACAACACTGGCCATTATTCTGTGAAGAGCTGGTCAAGTTTTTATCTGATTTGCTGAGTTAGGATGTTTTCTTAGCTCTTACTCTTACAGAACTGATTGAGCAAAAATAGAGAATTTGAGGTCATCTAATAAAAAATTCGTCTAAATTCAAAATTGCGACTAAATATGGCTTGTCATATGTCATTTTAAAGCCAATTAAATTCTTCATCGGATAGACCATAGTAAAGCATTTTTCTACATAAATTATGCTAATTGCTTCAATAAATTCGTATAATTCAAAGCATTTTTTTTGATAATTTTTTCTGACAAGTTGCCATGAAAAACCAGAAACTTGCGAGGGAAGTAGCAAAATCTTAGAAGTTTGTGAAAAATATAGTTTGAGCAATATTTAAAAGATATTGTTTCGTCGGTGATATTCTTCATGGGAACCAGAACGACCTAAACGCTTCATGCAAGTTCTGCATCCAAAGCCAGTTTCCTTTTGCTTCGCTCCTTTTACACCAATCCAACAATGGTGACATATTCCAAACTTGAGAAGCATTGACAGAATCATGGTCTCTCCCATGAAAAAGAGGGAAAGGCAGTACTGGTACTGGACCAGGCGGACGGCGGCAAGAAAAATTTCCAATCAGCTTGTGGATGACTCCAGATAAAAATTTGTCGTGTTCAAGTGGCTGTGTGTGATTCTGTGGTCCTGACATGTTCATAATTTTGAAATTCTTCTTGTAAATAATGTATGCATTTACCATTATTGCATCCAAAAAGTTAACAAACATTCTCACCCACCATCTCCTGGACTTACTTGCGAACCAATCGATTACACCTATCGACAGCACCCATATTTTTTATGATAATCAACTGCTATTGGTGGGCAAGGTAAATTCACTTGTTCACCTCTTATCGATTTCCGAGAGATTGTGCAGTTTCCTTCTCATGTTCTTCAATCAAGTTACGCAAATGGATATATCATTAAATGCACAAATTTCTCCGCCAGATTTGAAAACGGATTTCAAATTGGTCAAATAAACCAGAGAAGAAATTCTAGAAGAGTAAATTCGTACATTTTATCATTGTGGCTCTCGCTTCGGCGCTGTTGCTCTTATATTGAACCCTGTTAATAGACACTTCCGGAACAACTTTTTCAGTGGACATGCGTGGTTCTGTAGCCAATTTCAGACCCTATTTTGATCACTTTTAGGCAATCAAACAACTTTTCAACCGCGAATCTTCCCATTTTTAAATCCGTACTTAACAGAGTTTAATGTGCCACCCCATTCTCAACACTGTATTTAGGATGCAACCCCACTAAAGTCACAGTCGTAAAATTGGGATCCCATCCAGTGGCAATCCCCATTTCCCTCTACCTAGGAGATTCCCCCCTCCCCCTTCCGGAGTTGTTAGCCATGAGTTTGTAAACTGCAAGTTTGAAGATCATAGCATGTCGGGTATTGTGCATACCAGTCCAGGCACAGTGTCAACACAAGGTTTCACGGAAGCAACTTTTTTTTTAGCGCAGCTATGATGGAGGAAGAGGAGGTTTTACACGTGGCGGGAAAGCTGGTGTTTGCTAACAACACAGGATCCAATGGAAGAGCGTTGTTCCAGCGATCCATTCTAGTCAACTTGAATTTTTATTTCGTTGATGAATATGGTAAAGTTTTAACAAGTCACCACGAATTGATAAAAATACTCCCTTAGCTACTTTGACATTTCCACAGTTATAAGAATAATTTATGAAATTTAAGTCATGACCAAGAAGCGGTAAACACTTACGTTGGAAGGTTATTCGAAACAGTGATATAATTTTCTAAAAAAAATTTTGTTTATATTAGAACGACATTTAGAATTCAGTTTGGTATTCAATGTCAAAAGGATAGATAACCGTGAGAATTTAAAAAGCTTGCATTTAAACCCGTCTTGCATTTAAATTTGTCTTTCCTTCAATATTTAGATCTCTAGCAATCAGTCTTCCTTTCATCTAGTAGTTTTCTCGTTTAGTTGTAATAATGTTCAAGAGCCGTCATAAAGGCACCAAAATACTTCCTACTCTGCCTCGCTTACACTAGAGATGTGACTATCTCGCCAAAATTAAAACACGTGTTCGAATTATTCAAAGAATCTATTCGTTTCTTCACACGTCACCGAACCATGTTGCAGTAACACCGTCGCAGGACATCACTTGACCACATGTGCAGTAAACTCATGTCACCTCTGATATCTTTGCAGTAGCGTTGTATAGCACGAGTCACACACGCGGACGGGTTTGGCCGAGGAGGGGAGAGGCATGGTGTAATCCGAACAAGAATTACAGAAGATACCACCGCAGTTACGACAATGATGCTAAAATAAGGCAAATACGTGAGTTAGTTGATCAATCTACATGTAAAACGCACGACCAAAAGAAAAGAACCTCATGATGGTATGTAGTCTGATAAGGCTTTCCTGAAGCCGGCAGTCGCGTGATCAGAACCGGTCTCTCTCTCTAATATTTACACACCCAAACATTAGAATACCAGGAAAGTAAGATGCTTAAATCAACAGCTAGAATACCTTTCGTCTGGCCAAAGAAAACGGCTGATTACACTGTTGACATTTAGTAGCGTCCTTGTCTTCAGCCCATTTCATGTCCTAAAATGACCCACGAGAAATGCAATATCATTTTTATTTCATTATTTAAACGGCACGTTATCTCGTTTTGCTACCCTCCCGCCCCATTCCCCCTCCTATAAACTCACATCCTCTGTGATTCTTTCCCTCGCCATCAATCAGCTTTCTTTTACTTTTCCCATCTAAAGATCGTACGTAAAATATCAGGGAACCTTTCTGGGCTTTGCCTTTTGCTTGAGGCAAAGTTGAATGATTTTTAAATACTGATCACTTGGAAGTTTTTTACATGTAAACCTTCGCTATCCACCAAGGTAGTAAAAAAATACAGAAGCCACTCCTTTTGTGGAATTCAGGTTCTTAGTGAACGAGCTTACTTGACTGAAATAATACGAATAATTCAACGACACTTGCCCCGAAGTCTCGTTTCGCATTTGACATCATCATAGTTCATCAAATGGCATTACCTTCATAGACTGCGTAACTTCTTTCATTTCTTCAACCTTTTGCTGAGAACTAATCAAGACATACTCAGTCAGTGACGTCGAAAAAACTTTTTGCTGAACAGTTTATTTACAGTTCTTAATAAGTACCGCGACCCGACACAAAATTCCTCTTGCTTTTTCACTTCTTCCGCTACTATCGCGCCGTTTCCCATTTCGCTCCGTCTTACGAACTGGACGTCTGGAACAGGCAACACTTTTTTTTGCAGTGTAAACTACCTGCATTAATGACAAAAAACCGGAGTTTTACACTGTGAACAAGACACACTCAGTCGTTAACTTCAAATGGCTGTTTTGTTGTACAGTTTACGTTGAGTGCTTGGTTAGCACAAATACCTTTGTTTGCAGGGACCCTGAATGATACACCGTAAGGTAGGTTTAGAAAGACAGTAATCCCACGAGGTGACGATAAACTTGAACAAGGTATTAATGGGACCACGACTCGCGGATGAGATCTATCAAAGTTCCCATTGAAAAACCGCGTTGGGCGAAACCCCGAAAAACCGCTAAGAAGGAGACTACCTTTGAGCAAAAAGTGTGGGAGAAACATAAATGTGAGGTACTTACTTAGATAAATGAGAGCCCATTTCTACCAGTGCCTAAAACAACAAAGAAAAACAAAACCAAATTATCATTTTCATGAAGACATTACCCAAATGCCGCACCTCCCTCTTTCCACGGTCACTCACCATTTCCTGTTCCGAGTACGATTTCTTCAGTGACATGTACTTCTCATGTAATGCTTGGTATTCCTAGTAATGAAATGAAAACAGGTTAAGTTTGTGACATACCGAATGCAATTGGTACAGGTAATAACATGATTTCGAGTGCAATTTGGTGTAAATAAGCACGAGTAAATTTTTCAAAGACAACAAAATTGCACGAGACTGTAAGACTTATTACAAGACTTAGAGAAATCATGTTATCACTTGTTAATAATGTACATGAAGAAAACATCGCAGAAAGTCAAGACCAACGAAATTTTGAAAGCGTGCCCACTATTTGTAATTTGCACTCGTGTTACAGCTTTGCACTAGTGTTACATGAGAATGCACCAGTTTTCAGCCAATCAGAAGCGAGCAATTTTTTTCATGTACATAATTAACCCTATTAAACCTAAGGCCAAGCAACAACAAACCACATTAGAGAAGGACTGGGATAAACCAGCTGCCTTGCTTAAATGGAGGGTGGATGCCTGAGGCATACAAGGACTTCCAGTTTGTTTTGCCCGCCCTCTCATAAAATAACTCCTCCATGAATAGAAAAACCCTGCACCCTTGCCCAGTGCCCTTGAACCAAACATCCGTCGATGGTGATCAGATCAGTTGATTAGGGGAAAGCTTGAAAAGAACCCTGTGAGGGCCGCTGAGGGGTACTGACGGGTAGTCTCTTCTTAACTGCTCAAGATCGCAACTTGAATAATGAGGATCGGTAGTGCGTCGCTTGAGCGCAGGAGAGTTAGGGTAGTTTTTATAAGTGGCCCTTCGTAATTTTACTAAATCCAGAACTAAGGCAAATAAATAATGTGGAAATGAAAAACACAATCGTTGCACCTTTTTAAGTTTTTCAAGTTGCGTTAATTCCATCTGCATGGCACCTATCCTCTCTTTATCTTTAACGGATTCTTCTTGCAGACTTGTCCTCCACTCACGCTCGATTTTCAGGTTGGTTGTCAGTGCAGTTCTGAAGTGCAAAACAGTGAATTCAAAAGAGCAGCGCATTGTTTAATTCTAAGTCCGGCAAGTTTACGGTTACACAATCTAACCCCTAAATCTAGGGTTATTAAAAAGTACTTCCTAATTATCCTGCTTTTTATCACCTTCGTTCTCCGTTTTATTGTGTTATTTTGCACATTTGGCTTCGTTTTATATGTTCATACACTCGCGCGAAAGCTTATCGTTTTATCGTTTTGAGACCTTCAACTAGAGAAAAATTTGTGTACTCTATCATATCACCTTTCACTTTCGCTGTCAGCCAGCTTGTTGTTAAGTTGGCTGGCCAAGTTTTCTGCTGCTGTTTTCTTTGATGTCACTTCACCAAGGCTAAATCAGCGGAAAAAGACAAAGAAAAAGGTTCAGATCAGGCTTTGTTGAGAGAAATCTGGAATTGTTTTCAGTTCGCTTCCCTGCTCTCTATTATTGGTCCAGAGAACTCACTATCCTCTTAAGTTCAGTTAGAGGTTTTAATCGGAGTTCTCACTAACTCGTTGTGATCATATAGTATTTCTTTTTTTCTGATTGGCGCTGATGGCCTCTTAGCGTTTGGTTTGCGGACATTTAAGCGAGTGCTCTAGAGAGATCGAGACAAAAATCTAACAACAATCATAGGTTACAGAAATCTTTTTCACCTGTTTTCTAGTTCCTTGGTGTGACTTATCAGTCTCGCACATTTTTCTTCCAGTTCTGTCCATTTCCCCATGTGGTCCTTTGTTGACGTCTCACTCATCTGCCGAATCAGTCAGTCAATAAATCAATCAATCAATTAATTAGACAATCAGTGGGTCAGTCAGCCAGTCAGCCAGTCAGCCGGTCAGTCACTCAGTTTGTCTGTCACTCAGTCAGTAAGTTAGTCAGCCAGTAAGTCGGATAGTGAGTCGGATAGTCAGTCATTTTATCAGTCAGTCAGTCAGTGAGTCAATTAACCTGTAAGTCGGACAGTCAGTCATTATCAGTCAGTCAGCCAGTGAGTGAGTCAGTTAGCCAGTAAGGCGGACAGTCAGTCATTTTGTCAGTCAGTCAGTTCGCCTGTGAGTAAGTCAGTAAGGCAGTAAGTAATACACTCGGTCAGTCAGTTAGTCGGTTACCCTCCTCAACCTACAACCTTGTCAGTAGTGTGAATGTGTTACCTGTAATTTGTTGTGAAGCTCTAAGTTAAGTTTCTTGACATCCTCCAGTTGCCTTCGAATGGAGACCAGCGTGTCTTGCTTATCATGGATGTCTTTTTCTAAAAGCCGCATGGCAACCTGACGATGAACAACGAGGCACTGGTTTCGATAATTTGTGTTAAAGAGGATAATTCTCAAATCTCAAAGACCGCTAGTTGTATCTTCAAACATGCCAACCAGTATGGAACTTAAAGCACATGCACGGTCAAAGTCACCGAATTTGAAGACTAGTCCAAGCATTCACTGAGTAAAGCGGAGCGAAGTGGTAAATTGCATGATAGCAGCAGCGAAGCGAAAAAACGAGAAAGGTTTGGGTCGGGTCGGGTTCATGACTCGACCGGACTCAAACCTCTCTCTTTTTTTTTACCCTCCGCTTCTATGGCGCTGTTTAATATCGCACTTCGTTTTACTCATTGAACACCTGGCACAGGCCACCCAATTCGATTCAAGGCGAACCAAACATGGCCGCATTCAACAAAATAATAATTGTGATGCTGCACGCTCGGACAAAATAATACAAGTTTCACTTAATAAAAACACATATCTTCATATGTGTCCTTAGCAAACTGTTTTAGTTGTTGATACATTAACATTGCGTTATTCACAACAACTACGGCAGTTGTTTAAACAACAAAATGTACTCACTTCACTCTCCTCTCTCATACTTCTGGCCAAATCCAGTTCCTTTTCTGTTTCCTAAAATATATGAAATATTACATCATACATGTGTTTCAAACCAATACGATACATTTTTTTTCTCAGACGAAAATGTTTTACAAAAGAAGACCCCTGCTTTCTTTACCTTTCTCAGTTGTATTTCTGTGTCCAATTGCTTTCTGATCACATTATACATCTCATTCAAACCTTCCCTATCAAATCAAGAGAAAAAGAGAGTTTCAGGAAAGACATGTAAGCAAATGGCTATTTTAACAAAAGAAGTTTGATCTTCGAGCTCACTGACATGATAAAGGATATTAAAATAACTCAAAGAATAAGATTATAGCTATATCATTGCTAATTTCGTAGAGCGTTTTCCCACCCATAACGTGTAAATTCAATAAAGAAACACCAGATCACAACACCAGAGTTCTATTCGAACCCAACGACGAGCTGATCAGTACCATAGGCGGCAGAGCGTTCGAGTAGAGAGAGAGAGGAAGCGAAGGGGGGCAGAAGGCTTTTTACAATAAAGTCAAAAAAAATCGTAAGTGTCTCAGTGTGATGGTAGCCAATTTGGGACAATTAGGCAGTTACTCACAAAAAAGCCCCACATGAACTAAATTTCACTACGCACGATCTTGAAGAAACTATTTGTTCACTGAATATTTCACTGAGCCCAATATAGACTGTGCTAGCACCAAAACATAATGTGTGAATGGGAAGTTAGGGGAGGGGAGGGGGGCTCAGCACCTTTTTGCCCCCTGTTCTCTGACCCTACCAAATCTCATCTGCCTCCACCCCACCCTCCAGGGACAGTGAGGATGAACTCGAGCATAGTACATACTGGTGATCGTACATTATCAAAATTATCTTACCTTGATTTTTGGTATGTTTCTCTTTCAACGTCGATATCTGCTTGTGCAAGCTTGAAATATCAGTTAGAAAACAAAATTAATCATAAGTCCCTCGGCTTTTAACCCTTATGCTACAGTTTCAGCAAGTCATTCATCTTATCTCTAATCCTTAAAGATATGAGGCAATTTGAAAGATGTCTTGCAGGTTAGTCTATTACGCCATTAAAAAAAGGACAAAATTTGACTCAGATTTAGAAAGATAGAAGATTCCAGTTGTAGAAGATTCGTGAAGTACCCCACTCCTTCACAAGGATTCAAACTCAAAGCGTTCCAATATAGTATAAGGATGCTTCACCACCGAGCTACAGAAAACACAATGATAAGCTTAGCTTGGTCATCAGAGAAAATCTCAATTGAGTATCGAAAGTAATTCAGGATTGCTTCGGTTTTGCTTCACGTCACAAATTGATTGGTCCGGGAACCTCCCGCCACTTTTTCAACCAATCAGATTTAAAACTGAAACCAATCGTCACTAGGTCACTAACATTTCCCGCGCTCTGGGAACCTCGCGCCACTTTTTCAACCGATCAGATTTAAAACTGAAGCCAATCGATACCTGGTCACTCGAATTTTCCCGCGCTCCAGAAACCTCGCGCCACTTTTTCAACCAATCAGATTTAAAACTTAAGCCAATCGCCACCTTGTTACTCCCATTTTCCCGCGCTCCTGGCAGTTTGCTTATTTTTACACTGAATTCACATTGGTTCCTCGTGATATTTTCTTTTGTTCTAATTTTCACCACTATTATTAAATGCACTATTATCAAAGTAGCTTACAGACCTCGAGTTCTCCGGCTGTTGGTAAGAGGGAACTGCAGTACCTCGATAAACTTACCTCAATTGCATTTCATTCAACATAGTAAAATAAACTTACTTGCAGTTTCCTGGCACTGACTTCATTCATTTGATTATTTGCATCCTGTAAGATGTCTCTTTCTTGCATCAGTTGTACTATTTGCTCAGTACACGATGTAAGCTGTTAACACAAATTCATGCAGTAAATCAAGAATTTCTTATGTTGTTTATAGGAAGAATAAATAAAATAAATCAAGTGGCTTATTTTTAATTTAGGATGCCAGTAGCCAAACTTGGAACATACTTGCAGCTTAAGTAGACCTTGTGTAATTCTTGTTCACACACTACTGCACAAAATCATCAAAATTTATTGCTGCATTTACACCTTAAAATGATAAAAAAACAAAAACAAAAACAATCAAAAAGCACATCCATCACAGTACAAGACACTCAACATACCTGAGTACTAAGGTCATCATTTGTCATTTTCAGATTCTTTACCTTTGACTGTAAAGTGTTTACTGTAGTACTAAATGAAATGCAAAGGTACATGTACGTTAGTGATGAAGAAGAATTATCATACAACTCATATGGCCCCACAAGTGCACTTTTATTGAAAACATGTTAAAATGAAGTCAATGTTTGAGGGCCAGGCGCCATGGCGCCAGCAGCCATGTGGCCCACAAGATGCCAGCTGAAAGAAGAGAGGAATAGGTCATGCTATAGAGTTCTTATTGTCTGCGTAATGGGGCCTGATGAGGAAAATCTTTTGCTCAAGGTAATGACATACAGACCTAGCCCCATCCATAAACACAAATTAAGCAGAAGTTATTGGAGAAATAAAACTATGCAGCAAGGGTAATAAGATTTCTAGTTGATCCAAACCATCTTCAGGGATGTATCTTCAGTTTACTGAAGTTGTAATCAAGCATACCCTGTTCCAGATGTTTAGTGGGTAAAACAAACCCCAAAAGTAAACGGCGGGATAGTAGCAAAGGAGCGAAAAACCTAACAACGAGTTAAGGTTAACACTGGGTCAGGGGATGGGTAGGTGCACTATTGCTCAGATACTAACATTGATCCAACTTAAATTATTACAGCACCATAATTTGATGTAATTAAACTCACTTCAAGTTTCTATTCACTTCCTCCAGGTACGTCTTCTGATCAATTAACACACTTAAGTCACTTCCCTCACTGTCATCTCCTCTGAAAAAAAAATTGAACTGCATTAACATGCAGCATTTATCAATGGGGTAACACATACCCAAACACCACAAAATATGGCACCATAACTGTTGTACAGAGACTGTACACATATCCTTGTTATAAGTGGGTTAAGTGACTCCTAAAACCTAAACATAATTGTGACTGTGGTCTTGTATACAGAAATCTTTTCATTAAGTTGCTAATTTGACCTCAGTTCTGAAAAACTTGGCTTATGAATTTTTTATCATGTATTGTTAACTTTAATCAGGACTTGAGATAAGGTGTTAAATTGTGCAAAATTTCCAAATAATCATCAATAGGTTTTCAAAAAAAGTTGCTACTTTGCTAAAGGAGGATTCAGTTGAAACCATTAACTGCATTTAAATGTTACTTTCTCGTTATATGTTTTTTATCACAAAGTTAATATTTGAAAAAAGTCAGCTCTGATGATAAAGTAGGAATTTTTTGAAACCCATCAGCACAAACATATGTTCTTTCCCATTTCAAACATTCAAGAGACTTAAATTATACTATCAAGAAAATAAGTAGAACTACAGTGCAAAGTCTGTACAACAGTAATGAGAACAAGTCCATACACTTACTTTTTATTATTATCTGGGAGAGACTTTTCTAAATAGTTTCCATCTTTGAGATACAAACTAAGATCCAAAACTGCAGACTAAAGAAGATGGATTATTGCAAGTTCCAATATCAGAAGTATTGTTAAACAACACATCACACTGAGAGCGAAAATTCACATCAATTTTAATGATAGAGATAGCTTAGAAGAGATAGCTCTATGTGCACTGTGATTGCTTCACTGACTGAGCCTTAGTCTCCTACACAGCCTGTCAACAATTTAAAGCTGTTTTGTTGCCTAAATCTTTTATTATTACTAATTGTTCTTTCCTGGAAACAGGTTTTACCACTTACCCATGTATCAAGGCTGTCTCCCTTTAAATCAAAATTGCAGTCAATGATGTTGATCCCCACAAGCAAACCAGATATCACTGAACCTTCCTCTTGCATTAATGCAGCACGAGGCTCATACCAATCTCTGAAAATACACAAACACACACAAAAAGTGATGTAAATGTATGAAAATCATACATGTGAACTGTGGTTGAAGAAACAAATATAGAAGCGATCCACACAGTTATGAACACTACTCAAGAAGTAGTAAAAATAAGGCCTAAAAATTTTTTCAGGCCTTATTTCCACTACTACTGAAGTCGTGTTCATAACTGCGAGGATTGCTTCCATATTCATTTACACACAATAAGTATTTGTCAGATTCTATACAGACCCAATGGTCTTAAATTAATAATCAACCATCATGTTAAAGTTTTCCTGAATCCATTTTAAGATATAGAGCTTACTATGAAAACAAGCCCCCATTCAATATACCTAATTGTAATTTATTAAAAAATAAACTTCAAAGTCCATAACCAACAAAATTTATATACCTAGGTTTACAATCATTTTCCAAGAAACTTTAAGTACAAGTATCGATTCATCTCCTCCATGCATTTCTTTACCTAATTTTGCAATCTACATGTACTGACAGTGAAATAGAAAGCTAGACACTTATTGCACTCATAAATGAGAAAAGGAGAATTTGAAAGGAATTTTTTATAGGAAATACTATTGCCATAGCAACATCTTAAAAAAGGAATACGACAACATGTCTTGAAAATGTTTTAAAAATCACTGACTGATGTGTAACATTGTATAAGGGTTGTTAAGGACTTGATCCATCAAAACTTAAATTGTATTGTAAACCATGTCCAGCCATCTTTTAGTTTATCAAATATACTTACCTCAGCAATTCTTTGCTTTCTACCAGAATCATCAAGTATTCTGCAAGTTTCTTTTGCATCAAGGCCAACCTTACCCAAGCTCGTCCTTTACCATGATTAGTTCTATGAAGAAATGAATATCCAAAGTTATGTCCACTACATTTCAGGGTGTGATTGTTCAATACATGAAGGAACTAACATAACAAATTTATTTCAAATACCCATTCAAAACAGGAGGTTTGATACTTATTATAGATCTATGCTTCTCCAGACTAATGAAAGTAAAAGCAATAATGGTGCAGTTCTCTGCTGTTTGCAGCATACAGTGTAGAAGTAAAACAAATAATTATTATTAAGTCCCCAAAGTTTGGTTTTGTTAAATAGTCCTCATCAAGACCACAAATTTTGCAAGAATTTGAATCCTCATCTGTAACTATTCCAATGCTGGTGCAAAAGGCTATCAAAATTTAATATCCGCAGAAAATGACCTGCAATAAAGGGATCTAGGGGCCAGTACTGTGCTCTTAAATTTACATGGATACATAGAATAAAGAAAGCCATATCTGGGCCCATTTCAAACTATTCTTGGTTTCTTGAGAAAGGGCAATGCACATTTCATCCTTGAACTGAGGGTTAAAACACAGTAAGCAAGCAGTTGATACACCTCTGTGACATGGCAAATTTTCATTTTTTTAAGAAGCAGAAGACTCAAAGCAGTAAGTCACAAGGACCTGTCTCTAGGACTTATTACCCACTGAGCTTGGACCTTACAGGGTTGAATGTCAATATTAATAGGAAATGCCCTCATACAGCACTGATACATGTACCTGATATTTGGAAGATTCTGAACACTTTTAACAATCTCTGACGAATCTGGGGCAACTTGTTCTAATGCCTCCAATGGTCCCCAATAATCCTTCCTTTGACCCAAAATATTGCGTTTCACTTAAACAATGAAAACAGAAAGAGCATACTTAGATAACAGTCAAAGGAACAGCAGCCAAGAGAACTGCTATACTGTTCTTTGAAGTGCATTATTTACCATACAATATACAATTGTAGGCTTGGACAAGAGAAGAGAACTCTGGGAAGAGCCTCTTCCCACTGGAGCATGCTTGCCTTCTACCTCCTCCATGCCAGAAAAATAAGTTGCAGGTTTATGAAAATATAAATTCCACAAATTCAACCATGAACTTAATAGCAATGGCTAAAATAAAACAAATGTTCAAGAATTTTAAACATTTTTTTAAAAATTCTTTTGGTGAAAAATATAAACGTCTACCTGGCTGAAAAATTCAATGGTGCAAAAGATCTAGATTCTTGCCTTATTTTAATCTGTACTTTAATATGTTATCAGGTTAGAGTAGGTTAATTCCTAAACAATCATTATAATCCATGAACAAGTTTAATTCTGCGAGTAGGGTTCATAAAAATGCATCTTAAAAATAAAAATGGGACAAATTTTTCATGCATAATTTATTTGAAGCTCTGCAGTTAAAAAGACAGTGAATGAAAACAACCACTATGGCGACTTTCCAAACTGTGTCACAAATTTCATTGAAGAGAAATCAGAATATTTTTCCCCGGTGAAAAATAGTCAACAACCTACCTGAAGGAAAAACTGATTTCAAAATGACTGTAGCATTAGTAGTCATGTGACAAGCAAAGGTTTCACGTTTTGTTTTGTTTTAAGATTTAGAATATTAAGTTTCACTTTGATAACGAAAAGAAGCTTCCCATCCGGCTTCAGTCATCAACTTTCACACTCTCGCACTACTGGCAATTTTTGAGTAAAAACATTCTTGGATATCTACTCACTCCTTAAGCCATGTCGTAGAACGCTTTCGAGCACTACAAAAAATTGCTGAAAAGGTTCAAACGACTCGTCGATGACTTTCCCAAGTTTCAGAGCTGAATCGATGAGATTTTTAATGCAAAGATTTGCGATGTTCAACAGATTCAATCTCTCCACTTTGCATTGAGCATCTCGCTTACTATCAGGTATAGCACTAGAGCTAAACGTCCTCACTAGAAGCTTTCCAAAGTTCAGTTCTGTGTCCTCTTCCTCCAAGCTCGCCGACGCCATTTTGTTTTTCTCACTGAGAAACCGCTGGCTGAGTAGATAGTTGGCGCTCTCGGTGCATTGATTCACTGAACAGGGAGGACATGGGATCATGTTTGTCACTTCTTAGCCGCGACGTACGGGACAAAGATTTAATATGATGATTTATTTAATGCTTTCCACTAAATATGGGTGCCTCACGCGCGCTTATACCTACAGGCTACAATCGGCACTTAATTTCCTTCCAATTTGGCATTTTTGCATTTTGATATTTTCGTCGTTCCCTCGCTATCACATAGGTCACTATCTCCCAATTACTAATTGAGTAAGGTTCTGGGCCTTTATGGAAACCGAATACCGGCGAGTTTTTTCGTCAGAACCACCCCCCCCCCCAAAAAAAAAAAATCAGCAAGGTAATAAATTAGTTTTGCAAGAGAAAGGCCCTCCTCTCGATTAGTTGTAGCATCAGGAGCTCATAAATATTCTTTCAGTCTACCTACTCTTGGTTTCTTTGTACAAACGACAAATCAAAAAAAATCTACCCTAGCTCCTGTGTAAATGCACTCACAAACTCAAACTCAGAGGGTCATGACAACCAGCCACTGTACATGCATTTTATTTAAAATAACTTGAACCTTTCACAGCTCGATTTTTCCGCCCACTCAGGGTGATGTTTTTCCTTTCTATCACTTTTTCACTACTCAAAGCTAAGATTAAACTCGGATCACATAGGAATGTGGGGGGAGGGGGTGGGAGAGGAGCGACTACTGTAAGATATACGGTTGGGTGATGAAAAGGAAGAAGAGAAGTTCGCTTATACCAATGAGCGCGGTCGCGAGTATTCGGCAACAGAAATGATAAAAAAGGAAAAAAAAAAAAAAGAAGAAGAGAAGGACATGCTTTAATTAAGGATGAAGTGTTTCAAAACACGCAAAAATAGGTTAGAATTTTGGTTAAATTTTTTAATTTTTTAGGGCAATATCAGGCTCAGTATTAGTGAAATGAAATAAGGAGGTAAGTTCCTAAACAAAGTGTGGTGCTGCGTCGGTGGGAGAGTATAACAGGGTGATTTAGTCAACCTAGTTGATAACGTAAATTGGCCACCGTAAAGAGTTACAACGCTGACGTTAAGAGCGTTAGCCCTTCGTCAGAGTGAAACGTCTGCCAATTTACGTTACCAACTCAGTTGATAGTGCTAAATTACCCCACTATAAGTCAGTCATAATTTTTATTGACTTTGTTCCTCTTCTTTTATAAAATTCGTTCGTATGGGCCAAGTGTAAATACGTATCAGCGAGAGGTAAACAGCCTTTGATGGAATAATTTCCCATCTTCATGCTTTCATGATTCATGTACAGAAACCCTACTAAGCCCTAAAAGCCATGTGAGTCAGTTCGGAAAGAAGAAATTGTAAACTGAACTGAGGCTCCTCGCACCCGTATCACTGATTCATTACAGTTAACTCCTAACACTTAAACAGCCTTCATAAATAGACAAACGCATTCAAATTTAAAATTACTAAGAAAAGATTTGTATTTGAGGGGAAAATCGGTTTACCATCGCTTTACTTCGGTTTAAGTAATGCATTGAAAACGCTGAAATGGTAAGAGATATGAGTATTGCCTCTAACGAGCCCCTTTCTAAATTATTTGTGAAAAGAATGAGATCTATAATCGAACTTTAAAAAAACAGCAAAAACGTTTTTGACATTTTGTCATCTTGACAGTTTGTTTAAGCATAATACTTGCTTAAAAAGAATCACACCGAGTTAAATCCTTAAGGTTGCCTAATGAGTATAAGATCACTAATATCTCTCAATCGCCATAACTTCGAGGGTCTTCCAGGGCGGCTCGGTTACAATGTAATGAGAGACATTCCCTGTCATGTACATAACAACTTCCACTTTCAACTGGAAACAAAATATTTACTAGGTAAGGCAAAAACCATTCAGTACTTAACCAAGGAGACAAAGGATTGTCTTAATATTTAAAAGATAAAGAAAACGATTTAGCTAAAAAAATTTTAAGATTAAAAACGAGCGCCCAGTTTCTTCAGTTAGTGCTGCAAAAGACTCCCCATTAGCAACCTGTGAGACGGCCACGTTCGTGAACTTTGTGCAATGATAAAGGGTTAGATGACGTTTGTATTGAAGCCTGATTGCAAGTGATCTTGGCTGACAAATGATGCGTCTTTCTTGAACCAGCGAAGGTAAAACACAAATGCTGCCCCAGCGATTAACGCGCCAAGCAAAAACGTTCCAAATGCCAAAAGGCCAATCTCCCATCCTTTCATACCGTAAGCTGCAAAATGAACAAGAAAAAAGTTATGATTAGTCAAGCGATATTTGATTGTTGTCCGTCAGTCGATAGTTGTTTATAGATTCACAAGGTCGGTGTCTTTTTATTAGTTGGTATTTCTTCTAAGGTCCTCTACGATTAGAGGAAAAGCGAAAAAAAAAAAGCCACAACCAATTTGACGAACTGCAACGTTTTTGTCACTTAACATTTTAAGGGAAGATAAACATTTGTGAAATATTAGTAATGCTCTTTCTTTCAAAGAAATTTGTCTGCGTGAACCTCCAATTCCGACTACTACTAAACCATAAATCAGATATGCTGCACAACATATTAAATACGATGAGAGCAGTACTTAAAGGCATCTACAGATCCCAGAGTAAAAAACTCAGCTTAATGTTTTCCTTCGTGTTCTTATCTTCTTCTCACCAACCCCATCTTACCTGTAGTGGTAGTGGTAGTCGTGATGGTCATGCCGTTGCACGATAACTTGGTGACGTCATTAACTGTGGCTAGAATTGTGTCAGTGGTCTTCTGTAGGAACTGAAGCATTTCAGACGTCACATGACTCAGGCTGTCACAGTTTTTGTGGTAACACGATTTCATGTAGCTTCTTTGGTCAGCTGTGTCACTGAGGAAGATGGCGCTCATTGACGGATCATGGTCCCAAAAAGACACGTGATCACTACGTAAGAAATCCCCAAGCAGGTAATATTGCCAAAAGGGGGGGAGTTTTGATGGCTGTCCTTGAAATGGAAGGTTTACTTGATACATTGCAGTTTTGTCCCCGAGAGCTAAGTGAAGGATCGAAAAAGGTAAATGAAAATCACACTATCCTATTATAAAATTAATCAATTGCGGATAAATTTTTAAAAACGGTCACAGCAAATCTTCTTCAACTTGGAAAAATCCGGAGTTATTATAATATTTCGTTTTGGTACATCGCGCGTTCTCTGATCGCTCAAGGAGATTATCGTCAAACTCCTGAAATCCAGACCAGAGAAAGATGCTATTCTCGTCACAAGCGTGGGGCAAATGATATAGATTTGAGACCCGTGAGGAATCGAACCCAGACTCTCGGACTTTATAACCGGAGCCACAGAGACTTTATGGTGATAGCTTCAGATCGATATAGCACTCGTCCTGCCTACTGCAAGGATCTACAACGTCAAATGCGTCATGTGAGTAAATATAACATTCAAAGAAAAATTTACATATCTTAAAATATCATTGCACGACTAAATTTTAAATTTTTCTTCTTTTACGGGCAAACAATAATAATAATGAAAAAAAACTCAATGATAAAATTAGAAGGCACAAGAATTTAATATTACATTCAAGCACCTTCAGATTTAATTGTAGTATTCTGAGCCTTAAACTCTTCTTTATGCTCGTTTAATTGCGATTCACTGATGAAGATCAATCTGTCATTTATCAACTAAAAAAGGCGAATGATTTTATTCTCGTTTGATTTTAAGTAGGGGAGAATGCTACACGAGCATCTGGTAAGGTAAGAAAGCCGAGGCAGACGACCGGATGGCTGCTTACCAGATTTCACTTGACTGTAATGATACCAGAATGAGTTCAGAAGCGCTGCATCATCCACTTGTCGTCCAACCATGGAAAGGAAATCCCCTCGAAACTCGTCCTCTTTGATCTGATGGTAAATTTCTGGTGCGAGACGTTCTACTCCAGATGGGAGAAGCTGCGAATGAGGCGTAGTGTTATAATTGAACATTGTATCCATGATTATCGCTCCCTGAAGCTTTCCGTTTGAGTTTAAGGACCCGTTGTAAAATTGGGTGAAATTTGCGACAAAAGCGCGACTTCCACAGTCGATAGAGCCACAAGCACATTCGGGCACGACGCTTTGGTTGGAACAATCAAATTCCCATTCTTCAAAGTCAAATGCAACGAACATGACGCTGAAACTACGGGTACAGCTGGAGAAATCTGGAAAAAAGAAAAGCAGAAAGTAAAGAGCGTAATAGACCCTTCTTGCGAACCACTGAGGTCCTGTGAAAAAGCCGGCTTTATATATTATACGCGCTGCTGCACCGACGGCGATGCGGAGAAGAAAAGGAAACAGTCCACACCTGCCTGTCTCTCGCTGTTTTACTGATAGTGCCACAACAATAATCAGTACACGCTTATAGATAAAGTGAAAGTAAGATACATCTATTTTGTTGTCTTAGTGTGAAGATCTTCGGCCGAAGATAACAATGATCTTTCAGTTCATCTCTGATCCGGTTTTTTTTTTCCGTTACCATATTTGTGAGTGTGTGCGAAGCTACCTTCAAGTTGCCTGAGCGCACTTTTTTGTCCATAAACGCAAATAAAACCTTTAAACAGAAAATTCAAAACATCATTCCAAGTAGACAATCACGTGACAAACCATACCTTTGGCGAGCTGCTTAGCAACCTGAAGCATAGCAGCCACGCCTGAGCCATTATCGTCACTACCATGTAAGGTAGTTCGCATCGTGTCGTAATGAGCACCGATCAGAAACAACCTGTCGTTTGGCGAGCCAGCGAGTTTGCCAGGGAGCATTCCGATTATGTTTTCTCCAGTCGCGTACTTAAAAGGGAAGACAGAATTTTCACAAACAAATCTTAGAATGATTTGAAAAAATACGTGTTTTGCTAGAATGGGTCATTTAAGAGGCATCAATTGACTTGGCCATTTCTTTTGAGGTGAAATGACGGTTCACCTGATCGACGGTCAGACTAACACATTGGCTGACTCACTGACTGTCGTCGAGGCTGGAGAATTGGCCGGGGTGTTCCTGGGCAAGGCACTTCATCCCTAACAACGCTTCTCTCCGTTCTGTAGTATAAATGGGTACAGATAAACTATCAGGTACACCTCGGGAGTAACCGTCGGCGATCAAGAGAATATCAATTGTTGATATTCTCTTGTCTACGACGGAATAACTTTACATCAAGGGGGGAGGGGAGGGGGGAAGAGTTAGAAACAGGATCAAGTGATAAGTAGCATCACCAAGTGGGCACTGGGTTTGTGAACAGACGCCGTAATTTTTCAGGAAATAACATCCTGGTCTTCATTATAAAACAATTGACTAAACAAGTAAACTAAGTAAACATAAACCAGAAAACAAAGGATAGTCACCTTTGGATAATCTGGTTCAAATTTTTCAAGCCACGTGACAAGGCCCAAATCCTGGAAAGTTTGATGAATGAACTCCTGCGCTTTCTTCTTTCCTTCGGGATTAGTCACGTGATGTCTGCTATGGTTGAAATGTTTCAAGAAAGCCAACAGTGATTCGGATCTGTCGCTGTATTCATTTTGAGTGGCATCTGTCAAAAAAAATTAATTTCGGTCTTTTCAGCACTCATTACAGAAATGCTCACACTACTAATTGTTAGGCTTAGAAAGTTTCCGAAACCCGTTAGCGCTTGCGTCCTTCTTTTGTCAACAGTAGAAGGTAGTGAAAACTCTGAAAATATTATGAGAAAAGCTCACCCCTGCAAATAAAATACCTTTTAAGTTACTATACATATAAACTTTGAATCATATCGTTTGAAATCAGCTGTCCGTTTAATCTTATCATTTGTTGTCGACCAGGGCGAATAACTATGGATATCTATGGTGGATGTTATGACCTGTCATTCCCTCTTCCCCTCTAGGGGGTAGTTATCGTTGTTATCAAAAATTTCTGTCTGTAATGTGTTTTCAGACATCAACTCACTGTTTCTTCGAAGCTTATATAAAACAATTCGATACATGTGTCGTAAACGGACCACAGTGCGGAATGGTACGGCATCTTGGTAAATGTGGTTGATAAGAAAGTGCCCTTTTTTAATACTTTCTCCATATCTAGGTACAATAATGATGCAAAGAGCAAGAGTGATAGCTGCGAAAGTGAAAATGTTTCTCATTTTGCCGATGGTGATTATGAATATTCAGAAGATGTTGGTTCGCGAATCGATTCCTCGAGCGATCAGGGCAAGTGTGTCTTCCCTGACGGAAGTTGTTTTAATCGGATCGGTTCGTTGTGGAGTTTGTTTCATTATTAATAAGATACATGAAAAATTACTCAGTTCTGATTGGTTAAGATAATGCAGTTTTCAGGCAGTTCAGTGTAGAAAAGGGTTAATTCAGTGCAAAGAATTAACAAACCAGTCTGAACAATTTCTTGAACTGTTTAGCCGAACCTTGAACTTTTTTGCGCCTTAAGATGTCAAAATATCATTGTGTATTATTGTTTTCATCCTTCGCGGCTGTTTTGACCGAACGCACGATGTCACTTGCAGGGATTGAATAAATTATTTTTGCATTTCATTCGGCATAATTGTGATAAGCTATCTCGTATTTTTTCATGTATATTATTAATACATAATCACATGATTTTTCTCGTGCACTTTGGAATAAATATGCACTTTTAAGTTTTTTCAAAGACCACAAATTGCACTCGCCCTACGGGCTCGTGTAATTTTGTTAGTCTTATTTATTCCAAATTGCACTCGAAATTATGTGATTACCTATACTGAACGTTTGCGAGCTGATCTAAAGAACTACTTTATTTTGTTTTGGAATAAAACAACAGAAATGATAACAGAAAGAAACGATGACAATTGAGTGCCTTAAATAAAAATGAAAGCTAAGTTTTTTGTTTGTTTCACGATGTAGTCACGTGTGATGTAGATCGCCTCTCACCATGAGTGCCTCTCACCATGATGAACTTCACCAAGAAGATTATATGTCTGATAAGTTATGGGAAGGCATTGGAGGGAGGGGAGGGGGAATGATGATTACTGCAATAGAACTATCTCCCACAGAAGCGGCAAATAGCTCCCACCCTCCCTTCCCATGCCCTTTCGTTGTGATGTTTAATTTATGCTGTCTTTCCCGGAAAACGGACTTTAAATACTAAATTTACTCCAGCACCAGTTTCCCAGAAAGCGATTAATGTTATCTTGTGATGCATTTCCGAGAATTTTTCGTGTAAAAAAAAAATTAATAAATGAATAGTTTTAGTACCAAATCAAGGCAAGAGGGAAAGCAAACTAGAACTGCCATCATGAAAATTTCTTATCCAATATTGTATATGAACTGTCTCTGATGTAGCCTCACCGACATATCTTGAGCGTGTTATGAAGCTTTTTGTGTAAATACAAACATCAAATTTGGCACAAATTTACAATAAACAGACTGATTGGGAGCACTTATAGCCTAAGGATGTCAGTTCCTACAGTGAATAAAAGGAATTGAACCTTAGAATAATTTACAACGGTCCAAGTATAAATATTTCAATGCAGTTTGCAGGTTTGCATACTGGTTCCCGAGGAGTAATTTCTGCCGACTATCAATTAGCTTAAATGATTTAAACGGTTCATCGACTATTGACAAAGAAAACCAGATTCGCATCAAATCGAAACTTAAATCATAGATGTGGAAAATCTTATTGCAAAACTGTCGAGTCAATCCACTAGAGCAGATAATTTGCCAACTGGAACTGAACGTTAATCAACTAGACTTAAAAATTAGAAATCCGCAAGATACAGAACATTTCTTACCTGTGAGGACAATAGATTGAATGGCACACAAAACCGTAAGGAACCAAACGCTCGCCATGATATTCGTTGTCTACATTAAAAAAAAAGAAAGAGCAGAAGGCATCTGTAATTTAATTGCATCAATACTCTGACGTGCGTTAGCCGATCTCGCGTATTCTTTTTAAGGTGGGAGGGGAGGGCAAAAATGAAGTGAAAGTCTCTCTTGAGGCGACAGACTCCTTGACCATAGTACCCTTGGAATGGAGTGCGTTACCCCGTCTTTCTCGGAAAAACTGTTTATTTTTGGCAGCTTTCTGAGAATGTCAGATCGTATAGGTCAGCCTCTGTGGTTGCTATGCCGCTCTGCTATCGGCTCTTCAGGAATTTATGCGAATAATTCACGAAGATGCCATTTTCCCCAAATTCCATAAACTGGTTTCCGTTTCAGATTGATTATTCAATATCGAAAGACGTTCAACTACAAAGCTCTCCTGATAATCTTTGCGGGTAAAACATTTTTATAAGGGATTGCTTTCAATGAAGCCGTGAGTTTCCAGGAATTTGCGTGATGTACATTCTAGATGGCAAAGACTAATCCCGCGACTGTTAATTATTTTCGCCTTAACGCGGTTACTTTGCTGGATGATTACTTTTTTCCTAAGTCTCATGGACAAGCCAAGGTTAACTTTATCGTGAGAGAAAGACGATCTTAGTTGAGGTAAATTTCCTGTGTTACTTGCGTGAAGGGGCTTAAAAACAAAAGGCATCGACCGGGGATTTGAACCCATAACCTCTGTCTCGTTCGCAGCAGTTTTCGGAATATCATAAAGAGTCCATGACGTTCCGAAAAAGATTATGAACGCCGGAAGCGAAAATCTACGAAATGAATTGTGAAGTCGTGCACTGTAAGTTGGGTCGATTTTTAAGCTCAAAGAACACGATGAAACAACATTGAAGAAAGTAAATGAAATACAAATACTTCACAGCATCTCACGAACACACCTCTCGAGAACTCTGTAAACTTGTCCCGGACTTGTTCCTCAGTTTCTTCCTTCCATTCACTTCTTTTACTTGATTTTAAAACTATTAGCTATTTAGGTTTGATTTAGTTATTCGTTTTTCAATAGCCTTTAGCAAAGAAGTCCGAAGTTATTTAGGTTTCAGCCGTCAAGATACGTTGCAAATATTGAGTTTTATACCTTGAATTTCATTATTTCACAGTTTAACCCTTTTTAAAGGGCCCATTTCCAACCTTGATGCAACGTGGTCGTTTGTTTTTGTTTCGAACCATCGCTTTTGTTTAAATAGCTCCTCTGATTGGTCAGTTATTTTTACCTTGTCACGTTGTCTCAAAATGGCTTCTGCGTATTCTCCGATGAGTTTGGTGAGCTTGTCAAAATAATTCTGTTTAAAACAGTACTATACGTTTTAAGAGAGTGTCTCTGTAAGAGCGGTCCGGTCGATTTTGCTTGAGACACGGATTTCGCTCGTTTTTCGTGTGTTGTAAGACATTCATGTACCTATACTAAAACCACAATCAGTTTGATCGGATCTCTTTATTTTTCAGAGTTTTACGGAAATTAAATTTCACTCGAGCGAAGGCTTGTCGTGACACTTTTCAAGACTTTAATTTCATACAACTTTGGAGGACAATTTACAAAAAACTACAGAACTCAGCAAAAAACAAATACCACAGCCAAGTATATTGACTCTATCTTATCTATCGAGGCGACTTTCGTAAACATCACGTTTCAATCAAGGAAACAGGGAGACTTGAATGACACCTTATCGGTTCGCCTAAATCAAACACGCCAAAACCGATCAAATTCAAGGTAAATTTTTGAAAAAGTGAGGCGTTCTTAACTGATCCAACTAACATAGCTAGGAAGTAGGTGCCATAGTTAAGGTAACTACAGAAAAAAACTTTGCGGCCCGACCTTTACGAGAACTTTATAGCTCCGTGAACTTACCTAATTTTCGGCAATCTCCAAGTTTGGCCGTCATTTTGAGGGACTTGTCAACATGAAGCGTAACCGATATAAATCAAGCAGGTAAATCTAAAACCGTCAGAAATACATACGAAAGCAATTCAAATGAACTTTACTTTCAATTCAAGCGGCAAAATTTGAAATTGTTCGTTAAACTTACCATCCCCATGCGACCATTTATTCCAACAATTCAAACACTACAACTTTCTGAATTCCCCTCGTCGATTCCACCGCAAGAAATAACCTGTGCCACCCAAGCTTCGACTCGAATATGAAGCACGAATCAAGTAACATAACTGTTTCATCTTCGCGGCAATATCACGCTGGTATTTTGATTTTCCGATCGACAAGAACGGTGATCAGGAATCGATCGGTTTGTTTACCTCATAAACGTGACCGCTGACCATCCGCTAAGTGAAAACAGCATAGCGCGGGGTGGGGTGGTTGGCGGGCTTATCGTCATAAGATATTCGAATAAATGCTCAAAAAGCTCTAGGACTATCAGTCTAAACAGTGAAGGCATGCTTCGTGGTACAGACAACTTTTATTTTATTCTCATAACTTTCTCCTTTAAATTAGAACTGGTATTAGTTAATAGAGTTATCAATATATTTTTAACCGGGTACCCATATAACCTTTTTGCTTGTCATCAGTGGTAAAAAATAAAATGTCTTTTCCACCAGAACCTTTTATTTATGCCCCATTGCACGGAATGAACACTGTACTTAGAGTGTTTGCTCTAAGCAATTTTTTCTGTTCCCAAGAATGTATGCAAAGTGATAGAGATTTGAATCATTCCGCTAACACGTTCTTTTAAGTTATATGGCGCGTGTAGGTTTTTTCTATCAAAAGTCGCGCGTGCAACACACCGGAATTGAAAATTCGTCGTAAAATCGCACGAACCTTAGAATGAGTGTAGGCAACTTTGACTTCTGGCGAGATTAAGTGGATGGTTCAAAGGACCCCCTGAGATTTTTTTCAGGACTATAACTGAGATTTGTTAATAACTATGATAATCGTCATCATTAGCGGACGGTGCTTTTTGCCCATGGTTGTCATCAGTATCGTTATCACGCCGGAAGAAGTATAAAGCCGGCATGTCGCCTTACCTAACTACACAGAAAATTGTTCTCTCTTTTGCTCCCCTTGGATCCTGGAAACCGTTGCTATTAAGACGATCAACAAGAAAGCCTTTATAATTATTGAAACTTTTGATTAACAGAATGTAGGAAAAAATCGGTGGAGAGAGTTTTTCGCGTATCTTATAATCTGAACGATAGTTTTAAATAAAAGAAATAACAATTCATTCAATTTACCTTAGTTGTCTCGTGTTTAAAAGTGGCGTTTCTGGGGACCGTAGATTCTTCTTTGATTCTTCTTGTCTCAGCCAAGACTCACTATCATCAACTTTTTTCTTGTGCT